CCTCATGAGGCAGAGTCAAGAGGATCACTGTGAGTTTAAGGCCAGCCTGAACTACGTAGTAGTGAGACCCTTGTCTCCAAAAACAAAGCAGAGAGTAAATAGAATAATTATTACACAAACTACCGTCTCTGAGTGTTTGTTCTGCTCTAGCTGTTCGCTGCCCATGGAGTCCTCAGAGTACCCAGAATACCCGCAGGATAGGGTAAGGACTGTTGTTTTCCTGATTGGACAAAAAAAAAGGAAACAGAGGTTCTGGTAATTTCCTCAGTGCGAAGGCACAGAGCCAGGTTTTGGGCTGAAAACAGAGTCTCTGTGTTGGGGACCCACACCCCAGCCTTACCTTGGTGCTCCTTAGTCTCCCTTGTTTTTTGAGACAGGGTCTCACTATGTAGCCCAGGCTGGCCTTGAATTCTCAGCGATCCTCCTGCCTCAGCCTCCCAAGTATGCCAGCATGCCTGGCTTCCCTAGAGTCTCTGTAGTGGCAGAAGCCACAGAACACAGACTTTCAGACAGTGACCATGAGGCCATCTGTCCATGTGCCAGTTCCCAAAACAGATGTGGTCAGTGTGTGTCCCAAACGTATTCTGATAAGAAAAAAAGAAAACAAATAAGGAGAAAAACGAATCGGTGTTGAAGTGGTATCAGATAAAAAGCGGAGGTGGACTGTGGGGTGCGGGGTGTCACCTGTCACCTGTTACTCTCTCGCTGTCAGATGGGGACTTCTCAGTGCGGAGTAAGGGCTGTCTCAGTCTTCTGGGGTTCCCCTGGCCGTGACAGTCCACTCCTGCCCTCCCTCTGCCAAGTGCCGTTTCACTCAGTAACTTTTTTGCCTGCCATGCCCAGCCCCGGTCCTTGCTTTGCCTTTTTTGTTTGTTTTTGGTCTTTTTGAGACAGAGTCTTGCTATGCAGTTCAGGATGGCCTTGAATTTAAACTTTGTAGCTCGGGCTGGTCTCAAACTTGCAGCAATCCTCCTGCCTCAGCCTCCTGAATAGTGGGATTATAGGCGTGCACCACCATACCCAGTTTGCTTTGTTTTTTTTTCTTTCTTGGTATCCCCCCCCTTTTCTCTCTTTATTTTGTTTTTGTTTTTTTGGTACGACCTCATGCTTGCCATGCAGATGCTTTATGCTGCTGAGCTAAATCCCCAGCCCCTTTTCTCTATTTTTGAAATAGGCTCTTGCTGTGTAGTTCAGGCTGGCCTTGAGGCACTATGAAGTCCACACTGGCAGTCCTCCTGCCTCAGCCTCCTGAGGGCTGGGATTACAGATATGCACTACCACACCTGGCCTCCCACTCACTGAGGAATAAACAAGGGGAACCGCTCTTCCTTTGAGGAGAAGTGATTGGTGAAGTCTGTAAACCAATGGCTCATGCCCCAGGACTGGCTCTCGGAGGCACTGCACACTGGGGCCCTCTCCCTGGCTCACATTCTGGCTTCTAGGGTCAGTTTCTGTGTGTTCCATCTTCAACAAACAATTCAACAGTTTTTTTTTTTTTTTTTTTTAATTTTTTAAATTTTTTTTTTTTTTGGTCTTTTTCCTTTTTATCGGTACCGGGGATCGAACTCACGACTGCCTGCTGACAAGGCAGGCGTTTATGCCGCTGAGCTAAATCCCCAGCCCCAATTCAACAATTAATAAATGAATTCAGCTAGGCTTGGTCGTTCATGTCTATAGTCCTAACACTCAGGAGACGGAGGCAGGAGCATTCCAGCACTCGGGGATGGCAAGTCCCTGGGCAACTTACTTAATCCCTGACTCAAAATTTAAAAAGGGCGGTGGGCTAGGGCTGTGAATCAGTGTGAAAGTTCTCGTTCTATTCTCAGTGCCACAAATTAAATGGGCTAGCACAAGAAGTAGCAGAACAAAGCAGTTAAGAGCTGGGATGGGTTGGGTCGAGTCTGCTTCGGACATTTCCTAGCTATGAGATCGTGATCGTGATCGTGATCGTGATCGTGATCGTGGGTACTGAGCCACTCTTCAGGACTGGGCACCTTCCTGCAAGGGGGCAAAATAGCCCAGCCCAGTGTGATGGCACATGCCTGTAATCCCAGCACTCGGGAGGCTGAGGCAGGAGGATCATTGTGAATTGGAGGCTAACATAGGTTACTCAGACTGTGTCTCAAAAAGGTGGGGGGAGGACAGTATCTTTCTCCGACATTGTTGTGACTGACCATTGTCAGATATGTGCACTGCCAGGAACTGCCTCAAAAAAACAAAAATGATTTACACTTTTTAAAAATATGTAAGGGCAGGGAAGAGCATTTGTCTGGGGTTTGTTCAAAGTCCTGGGTCCATGCAGCACAGCAAAAATAAATGAATACATAAAAATAAAAACACTGGGGGCTGGGAATTTAGCTCAGCGGTATAAGCACCTGCCCTGCTAGCAGGCGGTCGTGAGTTCGATCCCCGGTACCGATAAAAAATGAAAAAGACAAAAAAAACCCAAAACAAAACAAAACAAAAACCACTGTTGGCCGGAGATTTAGCTCAGTGGCACAGTGCCCTGCCTGGTAAGTAGAAGGGCCTGAGTTCAATTCCCAATACCAAGAAACAAAACCCCAAAACTAAAATACTATGTTTGTACTCCTGGAAATGCAGTTTCAGACTTCATACATGCATCATTCATGCATCGTGCATGTACCACACCTTACCTACATGTATATATCCTACATCAGAATCCCCAAGTCAGGGCCAAGGAATCCTCATTTCCACAGCTGCTCTGGGTGGTGTAAACCCAGATCTTTCTTATGTTTTATTATAACATTTGTGTCAGTTTAGGATGGGGAGGGCAGGGTACAAGAGCAAAAATCATTTACAAAAATATTGGTATGCTGGGTGTGGTGGCTCACGCCTGTAATCCCAGCACTCGGGAGGCTGAAGCAGCAAGATCCTTGCAAATCTGAGACCAGCCTGGGCTACAAAGTGAGCTCAAGGTCAGCCTGAACTGCAGAGAGAGACCCTGTCTCAGAAAAAAAAAAAAAGAAAATATTGATAAAGAAGGTATATAAAAATAAGGTATATAAAAATAAATATTAAAAAATGTCTGTTAAGAAGCCAGGCATGGTGGCACACATGGTAATCCCAGCACTCCGGAGGCAGAGGCAGGAGGATTACCTTGAGCTTGAGGCCACCCTGGGCAGCAAAGTGAATTGAAGGGCAGCCTGAACTACATAGCAAAACGCTGTCTCAAGAAAGAAAAAAACAAATCTATTTAGAGAATCTATTTGTTGAAACCAAGAACTCTAATAGGAATCAGAAAAGTCTAACAATGACTAAACAATAACTAAAATTTTGTTTTTGCAAAATATATGACGAAGTAAAAATATGAAAAAACGATAAGTACTCTTAAAATATATTGAGCTCTTTTTATTATTCCTATCATTTTTTTGGAGTCAAGGCTTTACTATGTAGTTTAGGCTGGACTTGACCTCACTGTGTAGCCCAGGCTGGCCTCAAATTTGTAAGATCCTCCTGCCTCAGCCTCCCGAGTGCTGGGATCAGGGATGTGCCAGCATACTTGGCTCTGGGCAGTTACTGAGCTGGAGCTACAGCTTACAGATAGTGCACTTTGGATTTATCCTTCGCAACACACACACAATTCTAAGTCACTAAAACAGGCATCTCCTAAGTCAATGAGCAGATGTGGGTAGCTAATTTACACAAATGTCTCCTACTACGCCAAAAGAAAGTTGTTATTAGTAAATGATTGTCAGTCTTTTTGGCAGAATTGTTTTTAAAAATAGGTATCTAGGGTTGTCTGCTGTTGGCTGATCCAGCCTATCAGCAGGAAAATTGGGTCCTAAGAATTGAATCAAGCCTTAGGTGGTTTTGTCATCTCCCATTGAGAATTTCCACTTCGAGAAATTAATTCCCTTCTAGAAATAATCACGAGTTTGCAGAGATCATGCTGTACATGGGCCGCGTAGTACATTTTCCTAACGGAAGGAGGTGGCTGCAGGTTCAGTAAAATGCATGCCTGGTGACACTGACTGGTGGGATGCTGTGTAGCCAGTGAAAACGGAGCCACAGAATATTTACACGGAAAAGTGTTCAGAGTATTTTTTTTTTTTAGTGGAAAATTTATGAGGACACCCATTTAAAAAGTGGCTATTCCTGGAATGAAAATGAGAAAAATACTCCGGAGGCTGAAGCAGGATGATTCCAGGTTCAAACCTTTCCTCCAAATAAGAAGGGCTGGGGATGCTGCGCACTGTGAAGCCTTTGGCTCAATCCCCAGTTCTTTTGGGGGGGGGGCGTGTTGGGAGTAGTAAGGGAGGGGGCAGGAAGGCAAGGAAGGGGAGAGGAGGGCGATGTTCTTGCTTCCTGGTCTGGGGCCTCCGTTTAAGTAGCAATGGGGCCTGATGGTGCTGGTGCGCACCTGAGACCCCAGCACGCCAGAGACAGGCACGAGGGTGGCCGCGAGTTTGAGGCCAGCCTGGGCTATATAGACCCTGTCTCAAAAAGCCACCCCCACCCCCAAGAAAAGTAGCAATGCAAGACAGCACAGATTCTGGAAGACACTTCCCAGTCTGTCAACTCAGTGATTGTTAGTTTCCAGGCCTCAGTTTCCTCTTTTGTAAAACAAGAATAACACCTAAAATTTAAGGGTTTTGTGAAGATTTTACAAGTTCTACATATTAGAACAGCAGTCACTAGAAAGCCTTTATGACAGCGCCTATAGCATTTTCGCTATATTTGTTGTACATTTTAAAGTTTGACGAGTGAATACACGAACGAATCCAGTCCTGGGGGCATATCCTTTCTCGGGTGGTCACAGAGCCAGAAGCGGGGACCTGGAAGGGCTGTACACGGGGACACGGCCCAGCTCCCAGAAGCTTCTCCTCAGCCCGGAAGCAGTGGGTCCCCGCCCGCCGACCCTGGGGCCGCAGCGGGGAGGGAGGAGCGCGCTCCAGCCCCTTCCGCCGCCCGCCCCGCCCCGCCCCTGTGCCGCCGGCGTCCGCGGCTGCTCCGTGTCGCGCGGGGCGGGGCGCGCGGCTGTCAGGGCCACGGCGGGCGCGGGCGGAGACCGGGCTGCGCGCACTGCGACCGCGCCAGAGTCGCCCGCGCTCTCCGGCCGCCGCGTCGCCGCCCGCGCCTCCAGGCCACGCCGCGCCGCACCCGGGCCGAGCATGGAGCTGCTGTGCTGCGAGGGCCCCCGGCACGCGCCCCGCGCCCGGCCCGACCCGCGGCTGCTGGGCGACGCGCGCGTGCTGCGCAGCCTGCTGCGCCTGGAGGAGCGCTACGTGCCGCGCGCCTCCTACTTCCAGTGCGTGCAGAAGGAGATCCAGCCGCACATGCGGCGCATGCTGGCCTACTGGATGCTGGAGGTACCGACCCGGCCCTGCCGCACCGGGCCCGGCCTCGCTCGCGCGCCCCGCGGGATCCCCTGCCCTCCTCGGCGCGATCGGTGCCGCCTGTCATTTACGCCCCGGGTGCTCCCATCCCGGCCCCCCCGCCCCCCAGTGTCACGGTTCGGGTGCTGTCGCGGGGTCCGGCGAGGAAGCTGGGGGTGGGGGTGGGGGTGGGGGCGGCGCGCGCGGTTCCGGTGGACCGGGAAATGAAAAGTGCGGGAGACAGCAGCGCAGCTCCTCCCTTCCCCTTGGGTGTGTGCGGGGGGGGGGGGTGGCCGGGGTGCGGTCCTGCGCCTCGGCTGCCAAGGGAGACCCTTGCTCCTCGAACTGGAGGAGGGGAGCCTCGGCTTGGAATCCTCCCAGGGAAGGCATCTCGGCCGGGCCCCTGCGCAGGGCAGTGGGGAGGCCGCGCAGAGGAAGTGGCCAGTTGGAGGGTTCGCATCCTCCTCCGTGGTCGGGTCTTGTCCCTGTAGGGAGCTCCAAGTCTTCACCCCATTTCATGCCTCCACCTCCATCGCTGCTGTTGCTCCCCGAGTCCCTGCCCCAGCCCCAGCCCTGACCTTGCGCCCTCCCCAGGTGTGTGAGGAGCAGCGCTGCGAGGAGGAAGTCTTCCCGCTGGCCATGAACTACCTGGATCGCTACCTGTCCTGTGTCCCCACCCGAAAGGCGCAGTTGCAGCTCTTGGGCGCGGTCTGCATGCTGCTGGCCTCCAAACTGCGCGAGACCACGCCCCTGACCATCGAAAAACTTTGCATCTACACGGACCACGCGGTGTCTCCCCGCCAGATGCGGGTGCGTGGGTAACGCTGGCCCCCACCCCCGCGCACCCGCTCCCTGCTTCCTGGGAAGAGGCAAACAGCGACGACATCGGAGGCTTTCTGCCCTCCTGGGAAGGGATTCAAGAAAGCCAAGGGTTTTTTAGGGGGAAGAGACTTGTTCATGGCACAAAGATGGAGCAGTGCGGTGTGGTGGTCAGCGTAGAGCTGCAGGCCTGGACTCAGCCCCACCCACGACCTCTGGTGACGCCCCTCCTTCCTGGTCTTTCCCCCAGCAGCAGCGAGTCGAGCTGCCCTGTCTACACTCACCAGTACTTTGCCTCTGGGTTTGCACAGCTACCCTGAGTTATTTATTGGCAGCAGAAGGGCATAAGCCTGCACACCCCCGCCGTATTGGGAGTGGAATGCACGTCCCTGAGGGAGGGGCTCCCTCCCCAAGTATCCGCGAGTGGACTTTGGGATGGAAAAGCTCCCTAGCAGGTTAAAGCCCGGCCCCGATTGCCCTGCGGAAGTGCAGAGGTATTTCAACCCACCCACTGCTCTCCTTTCCCTGCCATCTCCAACACGCACCCCCTTTCCTGCCTCTGCCCCAGGTCTGTCCCTTTCACCCTTAGCCTGGCTGGAGCTGGGGAGCACAGCGCCCCCTCCCCCTGCCCGCCCACTCTGACCGAAGGCTTTCATAACCCTGCGGGGAGCTGCCGTCACTCCTGTGGTTTGGGAAGTGGCTCCTTGGGCCTCTTGCTGGGAACTGGGGCCTGGGTTCCTCCAGGCAGGCCGGAGAGTCACAGTTCTGCCTGTCCCCCGGGAGGCTGGAGCCCTCTGGCGCTAGGAGCACGCGGCGGGGCGCAAATGCGTCATTTTTCCAGGGTTGGGGAGAGGGTGGGTGAGCTGGCACCTCCCTTCACCTTGCTCGGTGGTGGCTGAGCCTGCTCCTGACCCCAGAGACGGCTGGGGCCCAGCTCCCAGGGAGGAGGGCAGCAAGCGGGCGCTGTGATTGGCTGGCGGGGATGAGGGTACTGGGGCCCCTAGCTGCTGGGAGTGGAGGAACTGGATTCCTCTTCCTGCCAAGTAGCTCTCAGAGATGGGAGTAGGAGGCCGGAGTTGGGAATCTGGGAGGCCCCACCAGGCTCTGTGATGAATCTGGTAGGATCTGAAAGTGGAGCTGGTTTCCAGGACCAGGGAGCAAGTTTTTGGAGTGTTTGGAGCTAGGAGGCAGAAAGGGACTTCCTCTTGGTGACAAGATTGAGCGGTGGATGCGCCTCTGCGTGAGGGTTTTTTTTTCTTCATTTAGAATAGGCTCAGTCCTTGCTGTGCTGGGGGTGGAGACAGATGGTTCCTAGAAGGTCAGCCTTGGCAGGGAGAAGGTTAACACCCAGCAAAGGAGGGAGGCCAGGTTGCCTTGCAGCCCGGGAGTGGTGGCCCCTGCAGCTCTTCCCTCCCAGGGAGTGTGCTCCACCAAGCAGGGCTGGGCTTCTCAGAGGTGGCTGGGATCCACTTCTCCACCGGATCTCCACCTCCCACCCCCACTTGCCTTCTCTGGGACCCTCAGTGATTCCTCTGCACCCCTGGGTGAAGAGCTTGGGAAGGGTTCTGAGCGCAGAACGCTGGTTCTTTGCTCCTTTCTGGCTGCATCCCAGCCTGTCTCTCTGGGTGCTGGAGAGGCTTGGGGTTGCACCAAGGTGCGCACCAAGAGAGGGACAGCTGTGGCTGGGGCCTGGAAGAAGTAGGGTGGGGCCACCATGGCTGCCTCAGTAAGGAGTCAAACCCACTAGTTCCTTCCTGAGATAAAACAATGAAGAAATCCTCAAGTGTGCAACTCGGAAACGGGGCCAGGCCTGGGAAGCCCCGTCAAGTGGACTGGGGTGAGGCTCCATAAGACCCAGCATTGGAGTTGGCCCGACAGGTCGGGGGACAGGGCTTGGCCCCTCTGAGGTTATGTGGGTGCACGCTTTGGCCCACCCCTCCCCCAAGTAGGTGGTACTGGAATGGGGTGGGTGCTGTACCCCAGGACCCAGCCCTGGTGTCCCACCAAGGGGATGTGGGTTGGGTTGGGTAACCTCCCCTTTGAGGAACCTCAGAGTCTCAGTGGCTGTGTCATAAGGAGTGGTTCCATGTCTGCTGCTCCTTCAAGAGGTGGCAGTTTGGGATACAGGGCTCGGAGGGGCGGCTGGCAGTGATGTCTCCCTGTCTTTGAGGTTTGGAAAAATCTGCCTCATCTCAGAGGGACCTGAAGTTTGTGGTGGTGGCATGAGAATCAAAAGGGATAATTCATGTAGCGGACATGGTGGCAGCACCTAGCGACTGATACTGGGTGCCCCAGGTACCTGAGCAGCCAGTCTGCAGCGCCAGTCCCTGACCAGCAGCACGCGTGGGTCCTGAACTTGTGAATCTTGCTGGGCTTCCTTCCACCCTGTTTCCCCCACCTTGCCCTCACTAGCCAGTGACTATGCCCTGTCTCCCCACCCCAGGAATGGGAGGTGCTGGTCCTGGGGAAGCTCAAGTGGGATCTGGCAGCTGTGATCGCGCATGATTTCCTGGCCCTGATTCTGCACCGGCTGTCTCTGCCCAGTGATCGACAGGCCTTGGTCAAAAAGCACGCCCAGACCTTTTTGGCCCTCTGTGCCACAGGTAAGTGCCCTGCACACATGTTGCCCAAATGGGAAATCAGAAGACTTGGAAGGGTGAGAACTGCCTAGGAAATTCCAGTTGGCACTCTCAGAAAGCTGAGAATGCTGTCCCCTGGGAGCCCCTGGTGGCAGGACTAAAGCAGATGCTAATCCTAGCTGTGTGGGATCTGTGTCTTGTGGGGGGGGTGATGACAGCTGGGTTTCCACACCAAGGGGGTTGCACAAATACTTTGGTCCCTGGCCAGGTCCACCCCGCACCCTGCGGAATTTCCTGTTCACGCTGATGCTCGTGGCTGGGTGGGGTAACCCCGAGGCACCATGCTTGTGTATCCCCTACAGGAGCCCTGATGCCATCTCTAGTGCAGCAAAAAACCAAAACCAAACCAAACCAAAACTGCTGGTCCTCTCTAGAAAAGGCTTTCGTGCTTCTCTCCCGTAACCACGTCTCACTGCTCCCACAGTGGGGTCCCCAGTGTGTCCCTGCCTGCACTGTCTGAGGGCTGGAAGGCCAGGATGGCTGTGCTCCTGCAGGCTTCTCATGGCTCCCTCGCCTCCTTTCCTAGATTATACTTTCGCCATGTACCCACCATCCATGATCGCAACAGGCAGCATTGGGGCTGCAGTGCAGGGCCTGGGCGCTTGCTCCACATCCGGCGATGAGCTCACTGAGCTGCTCGCCGGCATCACTGGCACCGATGTGGTGAGTGCTGGGAGCCCGTCACCAGGCAGCACTGTTCCCAGAGCCTCCAGTAGAGGGCGGTGGGCGTCCCCACCCCAAGCCCAGCTCCATGTTTTACACTCTGTGGGCCCAAAGCCCTTTATCTCATGCCCTGCTGTGAAGAGGGGGTGTCAGGGTGGAGTAAAGGGCACTGGCCCAGGGTGCCCTTGCTTGCCAAGTGTGTGTTGTGGTGGGGGTGGCGGACCCCGTGTCAGATGCAGGCTGCTGTCACACCCTCTTTGCCACATCCTCTCGCCAGTTTCTGAGAAATGAAGCCCCAATTCCTGGGGCTGGGCTGTGGCCTAACCTCCCTGGCCTTCCCTGGCAAGGGAGGCACCCATCCCCTGCACCTGCTGCCTATGCCATGGGAAGAATGGGCCTCACTATCCTGTTGCCCCCAGGACTGTCTACGGGCCTGCCAGGAGCAGATTGAAGCTGCGCTCAGAGAGAGCCTGCGGGAAGCCTCCCAGCCGACCCCCACCCCGGAGCTCAAAACTCCCCGGGGCTCCAGCAGCCAAGGGCCCAGCCAGACCAGCACGCCCACAGAGGTCACTGCCATCCACCTGTAGCCCTGACAGGACCCGAGTGGCCACCATGCAGCAGATGGGCCCCCACCACTCCTCCCTGCCTCTGGAACAAGTACTACGTCCTCAAGCCCAAGGGGCTGGGTCCTGCCTTTCCCTATCTGCACTAAAGGCTGTCCAGCCATGCCGGCATGGGGTCCAGCCCCCCTCCTGTGTCTGACCAGCTCGGCCCCTTCCTGGCTTGGGCCGCTCTGCTCAGATGGGATGGGAGCGGGTGAGTCTCTGCACCAGCGTCTTCTTGAGGCTGCACCTCTGGCCCTCTCATTCTTAACTAAAATGCCCTGTGCCTTCTAAGATGCTGCTCCGACCTGGGGCCACTGCGTTTGGATGGTTGCTGCGGGTACCCTGCTGCACACAGAGGGATACAGTCTGCTGCTCCTAGAGAAGGCCTAGCTTCAGCCACAGGCATCCTCCTCGCTTTGCTTCCTGCTCAGCTGCTCCTGTGTGCTGGAGTTTGGTGCTCAAGTGGCCGTGTTAATTTATTATTGCTAGAGTATAACTGTAAGGGGTGCAGTGGGCGTGCCCGCCCCATGGAGGTGGTAACCCTGGCGGTTGCTGCTTCTTTCCCTTTTGCTGCCGACTACATGAGCTTTGTGGCCCAGGAGCTGCTACAGCCTGGGGCGGGTCTGTGCCCTCCTCTCCCCTTTGTGCCCTGTCCCTTCCTACAGCAGGAAGGACACCAGAGTGGCCAAGCCCCCACTGGAGAGGGAGGCAAGCTCTAGACACAGGCCTTTCCAGCGCCACAAGGTTCAGGCTGGTGGCCTGGGACCACCACACTGCCTTAATAAAGATTCTGGAAGAAGACTGCTTTTGGCCTCTGGGTATGCTCAGTGCTGTGGGTAAAAGCCTATTCCTAGCTGAGGATACAGCTCAGCAGCACAGCGTGAGTTTGTCAGTTTCATTCCTGATGCCAAAAAAAAAAAAAAAGGCTTTATGGGCTGCAGGGTCTCTGCCCTGGCAGCCATGCCCCGTGTGACATGACATTCCTACAAGGGCCAGCTGAGAACTGCAGAGCAGACCCCTCAGGCTTATGGGAGAACGGGGTTTAATAACGTGGCTCAGTGGCAGACTGCTTCCCCAGCATCTCAAGAAGACACTTTAGATTTATAAAATGATGAAAGCTAGCACAGCTGAGTGCGGTGGTACACACCCGTGATCCCAGCACTTAGCAGGCTAAGGCTGGAGGATTCCTTTGAGTTTGAGATCCATACTATGCAGTGAGTTCAAGGGTAGCCTGGACTACACAGCCATACTCTGAAAACCAAAACCTGACAAAACGGGACTCAGTTTAGAAAAATGCTAAGGATCCTAAATGCTGTGATAAACAGCTTGTGTTGTGGCGTTAACCTCCAAAAGTCACATGTTAGGCAGTGGGGGAGTGTGTGCCACTGCCAGCCTTGGGCAGTGCCCAGGGTGGAGCTGAGTACCACTGTGCCCCAACAAGCACAGTTCTGCCACTGAGTGACACTGCCAGCCCAACAGCTTGCTGTGGACACAGCACAAAAATACTATTTTCTCCCAGTCACTTAAAAATACAAAATATCACTCTTGGTTTATTGGCCACAAAACAGCTATTTGGCCCTAGTCTGCCCACAGCTGGTCTGAAGTGTCATTGGCCAAGAAACCGAAGAACCTGTTTGGTGCTGACCCGGATATAACTGCTCCCCTTTCCTGCCTCTGGGTCTCCTTCCCGGATGAGGGGTGCCCTCCGATGGTGGATGTCCTCTATCCATGGCTGCTCCAAGCAGCCTAGGAGAGGAACCCTGGAGATTAGGGGTTGGTGACTCCTGAGTGACTGGGTCAGAATCCACCCCAAGACAGGAGTGGGACAGCCTAATGCCCGTCTGGGGTCAGAGGGCAGGAGAAAGATCTAGCAGTGACACCAAATGTTTCAATAAATACCTGCGTTTGTTTGTACCCGCGTTCCAGTGCTGTGTGGGCCACACTGACACCCCCCCTCCCCCCGCCGCTGAGTGAGCAGGGAGGAAGGCTCAGAATGTAAGGGGAACCCAGAGGTCTCAGTCTTCCCTGCCCAGGACTGGGAGCAACAAACACCCGTGCCCTGTTCTCTTCCATCTGGCGTCCTTAGCCATAAATAGTGCCATCTTTAGTCACCAAGAGGGGACTAGGCCAGGCAACTGCTGTCCTCACTCCATGGCAGCGGGAACATCTTCTACATCTCGAGGGACAGCACTCTGAAGCTCGCGCCTGATCTCAGGGGACAGCTGTGGGTGGGGCTGCAGCCGGAGCAGTTCTAGGAGGGCCTCCTTCTGGTCCGAGGCCAAGTCAGCTTTGTAGCGCTGGGCCAGGGTCAGCAGGCACTGGTGCCAGAGCACGGGCAGCTCCCGCTTCTCTGTCCGGAAGCCCAGGAAGTGGAAGACCAGGGCATCCAGCACCCTGTAGGGCAGCGCGTACTTCTTATCCAGCAGCAGCCGCAGGAAGATGCTGTTGGCCCCGCTGTACTCCATCTCGGCGATCTTCAGCATGGCGGCACTGGGGGAGGGGAGGGGTCAGTGAGGCCGGGGAGCCTTCTCCTCTAGGGGCCCCAACTATGGTATTCCCAAGGGCCACAAGAGGCAGCGGGCCCTTTCTCACCGACTCGACCTTATTACTGGGCTGAGGATATAGCTCAGCAGTATAAGCACCTGCCTGGCAGGCACAAGGTCCTGACTTCAATTCCCAGTACCAAATAGGGGATAAAAAAAAGTACACATTATTAGAATCCCTGGCCTCCAGGTATCACCTCTGCGCACAGCCACTCCACACCCCTGTGCTGGCTTGGCCCGAAAGCCTCCCGGTGTCCAAATGTGTCACCATCTCTACCTGACCAGCTTCTTCCCCTCACGTGCTCACTCACCTGCAGACTGCTTCCTGGGGTCTTGTTCCCTAGCACTGACCTATCAGTGGGCTCCATCACTCACTGGCTTCTGCCATAAACCCAGGGCTGCGTTCTCAGCTCCCTCCCACGCCTGCCCCACACCCAGGTCCTGGCAACCTCCTGACACAAGTGCCTAGTGACTGCCCTGCTCCACCGTGCCACCACCGTTACCTGGAGTGCAGCACGGGGATGGAGCACTTGGTTATGATGCTGCCCACGATGATGGCTTCCCGGAGCGTACAAGTGCCCGACTCGCACAGCGGGATCAGGATCCCTGGAGAGCAGAGGGCGGGCAGTTGTAGTGGGGTGAGCGAGAGGGGTTACAGTGGGAAGCACCCAGTGCTGGGCTACCTACCTTTGAACCAGGCCCCAGGCTTGAACAGGGCCTTCTTCAGGGCCATGTAGAGGTGGAAGTTGAGTCGTTTGTACTCTGCGATGTCATCACGCACCCGGGGCAGCAGGACGAGGTTGTAGAAGCGCTGGGCCATGCGTTCCTTCAGGTTAGAGGCGAAGATCCTAGTGGGGCGGGAGTTCCCAGGTCCCCAGGTCACGGGACAGCCTGGCCCTGGGCCTTCAGACATCACTGTGTGCACGTGAGCGTGTAAGAGGATCCAGCCTTTCAGAGAGGGGTGTGTGGGGGCCATGTGCATGCAACCCACAGGTGAGCTTAGAAGGGACACGAGGGCAGCAAGATGTACCCGAAACAAAGTGTGCACTGACTGCCTTGTTTTTCTTTGTGCATTGCTGGGGAATCGAACCTAGGTCCTCATGCATGCAACCTAGGCAAGTGCCCTACCCCCGAACAACATCCCTAGCCCAGTCTTTGGGACAGTCAAGCTGGGCCTTGACCCCCAAAATGCAAGAGGAAAAGCTAGGAAAGAAGTGACAAGGCAGCAAGGGACAGAGCCCCAGAGTAATAGCCATGGCAGGGACAGCTGCCACCTTCTGCCCTGGTCCTCACCCGCATGCAGACGTGGCCACCCCATCCTGCTGCACTACCTGGTGGCCTGGTACATGGCAGCCGCAGTCCAGGCTTCAGGCTCCGTGACGTAGAGGATCTGTTCCCAGTTGGAGAGTGCAGGGATGATTTTAAAGGCCTTGGGCAGCTTTCCACTGCGGTACTTAGATAACACCTGGGGTCAGGGGGCAAAGTCACCATCTCTGTTAAGACCCATGGCATGTGCCATGTGCCAAGGCCTCAGCAGGGTGCCTTCCCATGTGGTTACGTGTGATCCCAGTGCCAGCTCTGCAAGGAGGCCCTTTACCACACCCTTGCCTCCGTGCCTGGAGTGGAAACCTGAACCCACATCTGCTGTGAGCCTGCTCTTGGCTACCACGCACCACTGGAGACACTCAAGGTGTCCTCCACCCCATCTGCATGAGGCTGAGGCTGAGGCACCGCAGCTACCCTCCCAGCTTTTACCTCCCGGACGCCTCTGTAGACGCCCAGCACTCGGGGGTCCAGCTGTGGCACAGGGAAGCCTGACACCTCTGACATGACCGTCTCGACCTCAGTCTGCTTCTCCGTTAGTTTCTCCATGATGATGTCGGCCAGAGTGCGTCTGCGGAGGCGAAGGGAGAGCTGGGGTCACTGTCCTGGAGCTCCAGAGCCCTCTCACGGTCCCTGTGAGCACCCATAAACAGGGATCCTGCAGGACAGTGAGGCCTAGTCTCCCTCTGCACCACCTACCACAAATTCCTGCACAGTGAGGGGACGGAAGCCCTTCCACCACCAGACAAGGCTGGCAGGGCAAACTGCTCAGGCTTCCGTCCTGGCTCTTCAGCCCCAAATGACTGTGGGCACATCACTCTGCCCCTCTATGACGGTTTCCTCTGCAGTGAAACAGAGGTAGTGACGGTCCTGCTGTGTGAAACCCGAGGACTACAGGCCTGCACACACACATGCTGCGTGGGACTGCTAGTACCTAGCAAGTGTGACGCTTCAAATACACCCATCATGTGCTGGCAAAACTGGGGACGCTGCTAACACCAGCTCTCCGCCTGACCTCTTTACTGTCACACACATCGTGATTACCTGCTGAGATTATAGGCTGCCATGATCACCAGAGAGAGATTATGATACGAACTTTTCCCTATTTGAATTTTCTAAGTTTAGGGGTCAGTCTCAGCAACTGAGCCAGATCCTATCTCAAGAAGTTTAAGCCATGGTGATTCAGTTCAATGGGAAGGCCCTGGGTTCAATCCCCAGTATTATAGAAAAAAAAAAATCTATAGAATATTCTATATTGCCAAGACTGAGTATATTCTCCCCATTCTCCTCAGCTTCCCTAAACAAAGGATATCAAACATAACCCTCCCTATCCCCGGAGGAAAGTCTTGATAGGCACTCTAGGCTGGCCTTGAATTCAACTCACATCCTCTTGGCTCAGACTTCTGGATGCAAGGCTTAAGAGTACTGGGCCACGGCAGGGCCACTGCGCAAGCACAGTCCCCTATTCTGTCTGGGGGCTGTGGTATGACAGTTATCTTCAGCGCCTCCTCACATGTGTAACTGGGGTGCAGCTTGGTGGGACAACACTTGCCTGGCATGTGCAGGGCCTGGGCTCCAACCCCAGCATCTCAAACTTATTAATTAAATTCTAAAGCTCCGGGTTTTACAGTCTCCTCCAGTGTGTCCCCAGACCCCAGTGATTGCTGAGCTCTGTAGCTCTAGTCTTGCTTTCTTGCAGAGTGCCAGGAGTCCTGCTCCTAGTAGCTCATCCCTTTTTTCCTGCTAAGCTAATGAGGGTCATCTATGGAGCAGGTGTCATGAGGCAGTGGGCGGGACTGAGGCCAGGGACAAGCCCACACCCTGAATGTGCACTCTGTGACACCTGCAGCCACCACTGGGCATCAGTGTATGGGGGAGGGAGGTGTCCCCCCTGTGCTCTTTAGCTGTATGGGTCACCCCCTCCTATCTTTTCATGGTGTCACAGCAACGAGATGCACTAACCCAAACTACCCCAAAGACCAGAGGACAACAGTGTGTCACCACCATTGCAGAGTAGAACAAACTGGCCCAAGGCCCTTGCCCTACAGTCCCTGCCTGGAATCTGATCACATGCACTCTGGAGCTGGCATTTCTATAGGTAGGAGTAAGCCAGGAATGGTGCACTCTTGTAATCCCACATTCAAGGAGACTGAGACTTGAGAATCTCCAGTTCAAGGCCAGCCTAGACTATATAGCAAGGTTTTGTCTCCAAAACCAAAACCAAGACCAAAACCAAACTCTTAACTGGAGGCAACTCCCCACTCTGAGCCCTAAGCCACCCGGAGACATTTGGCATTGTCTGGGCTCACTTTTGGTTATCACAACTAGAGGGAATATAGCTACTGATAGTAGAGGGTATGTGTCACAGACTGCTGCTAAATATCCATGTGTTTAGAGTTACTTAGCCTCAAATGCCACTAAGGCTGAGGACCAAAGTCCTGGGTTAACTATACTGTAGGTGTGAAAGAGATTGCTCGAAGAGATCGCTGAACACACCATGACCTAAGGCAATGGAGTGAGGGGTCTACCCTGATGCAAGGGACAGAAGGGGAGAGGAATCTGGAGTTTGGGCCACTTTGGCCAAGATGATCCCCCACAACTAGCAACCTCAGGCCCTTCCCTGAGGCACAGGACCTGGGCACTTGCTTCTCTGCAATGCTTTCCACAGGGTCTGCTCCCCGAAGCCGCAGCGCTACCTGGCAGGAGGGTTCTTGTTCATGAACATTTCAATGGCACGTTCATCTTCAGGGTCCACAACCACCTCTGCATGGTGGCTCACCCCTGTCATTTTGGCGGCCTTTTCCAGGCTGGGCCACTCCTCGTCCTCATCATCTGATCCATCCTGTGGTGCTCCTGGGCCTAAAAGAGGGCAGATTAAGGGATGAGCAGGAAGGAGAGGCCAAAGGATTCAGAGTCAATTGAACTTTAACCAGTGGTGCAGGACTGGTGTGCTGGGGGCAGATACGGATGTACGCATAGACACAGATGGGGCGCATGCTATCTTCCTCTTCAGGGCTTGCAATCTTGCTTTAAAAAAAAAAAAAACAGCACAACACGTGAAACAGTGAGATAGCAATGTCAGTAAATAATGGTGAACACATCACCCTCCATTTGGCAGCAAGAACTGCTCTGTTTTGTACGTGTGCATTACTTGGTTAACTCCGATAAACAAGGAGATGCTGGTACTATCCCCAGCTGTGAAGAAGCACCCTGAAGCTCTGCAAAGTGATTGGCCCCAAGGCAGACCAGGTTTCACTGTGTCCTTCTCTGCTAGTCACACACTCAGCGGGGGTCATTTAGGACAGAGGTGTGCTGGGGGTGCAGCTCAGCAAGGCACACGCTTAGCATGTGTGAGGCCCTGGATTCGAGTCCCAGCACACCAAACACTAGACGAAGAACACCAACACTTTGAGGCAGAGTGTAACAAAGGCTAAAAGAGGGAGAGGGGTTGGGCATTTAGCCTCCACATGCCACTACCAGCTTGAATGTATGTTGAAGGTGATTTCCCTTCTTAGCTCCAGACCCTAATTCCGGAGGCCTCTTGGGTCACTGCTCCTGAATGAGCCCACAGGCACTTCCAGCTTTACGTGTTATCAGCTAACCTCATTCTCCTCCCCTCCTGGGTCTACTTGCCCCATCTCCTGGCTCATCCATCCAACGCCCACCCTGGGAAGCAGTCCTACCTTGTCCTCTGCACCTGCCTTCAACAGCCAATCAACTACTACGTCCCATTTGACTCTGCTGGTCCAGTGTTTCAAATATCCTTCACAGCTTCAGCAAAGCCTGCATCACCATCCAGAATAAGCTTCCAGAAACACCCGTGCCATCTGGTCCATCCTCAAAACTCTCCGATAGTTTCCCACTACTGTGAGGTTGGCTTTACACCCCGGCGAGGCTCTGAGACTTGACTCCTACCCTCCTCGCCACCACCCAAAGATCCATCCCTGCTGCAAACACTGCGCGCCTGCTCTGTGTGAGGCACCGCCAGGAGCGCTATACGGGAATATAAAACGTTCTGCCCTTGGAGAGTCTACATTCTGATGAACAGAGAGAGACATGGTGTTCCAGCCTTTTAACTCTTATTTTCTTTGCACAGTGCTGGGGAGCAGTAACATATGGAAGTGCTATGAGAAACTATGCCCGACAGGCATATGGAGACAGGTAGGGTACTGCAATTTTAAATGGCATGGTTGGACAGTGTCTCAGTGCAGTCCAGGATGACAATTCTGATCTTTGTGAACAAGGAAAATGGAGAACCAGGTGCCCTTGTGGCGCCTCAGGTGACGCTGAGGCTGATGTCTAGGCCTGTCAGTTTTAGATGGGAGAGCTCAGGTTTCATTACTGCACATCAGTGAAATGTTCAATGTTCCACCAGCCTTACCTAAAATTGCCAGATAGGTTTTGGGAACTCAACAGAGCTACAGAAAAGTCAGTAAAGAATAATGGATCCCTCAATCAAAAATCAAATTTTCCTGCCAAAAAAGATGACTGAGAGACCTAGCAACAAGCTCTGTCCCTGCCTCTGATGATCCAGAAAGACAAAAATTCTTTCCCTTTGATCCTCTAGATTTTGCAAGCTTGGACCTGGATGGGCAGCACCAGAGCAGAGCTGCCTTCATGATGCCCAGGGGAAGAGGGCTCCAAAGGCTGCTGCTGTGGGCCCTCTTCACCTGTGAAGATGCATTCCCCATGGGAAGCTGATCTGCTGTGGTCTCATAGAGGCATTCTTTCTATCCTGGAGGTTGAATTTCTATCTGCTTGTTATGACAGAATACTTAAATTTCTTAGTGCTTTATAGTTTGTGTGTGTTTGTATAAGTAAAGCATTTCTGCTTTAAAAAAAATAAATGGCATGGTCAGGGCAGGCCGCTCTAAGAAGGTGAAAAGCTGAGGAAGCAAACCTACAGGTGTGTGAGAATAGACTACCCCAGGCAGAAGGACAAGCCCCCGTGAAGACCCTGACCTTCCATGTTTGAGCAACAAGGAAGTCTATATAGGTGGACTCGGACAAGAGGTCACACTGGAGGAATGTCATAGGACACTGCAGCAATCTCCAGCTGCTGAGTGGATGGTAAAGTTTACAGTACACTAATTAGGAAGCTACTGGAATAATCCAAGTTCGGGATCACAGTAGCTTGAACACCGTTCAAGGTGGTGAGAAGTGGTCTGATGGTGGACCGATTTTGGAGGTAACGCCCTCAGGATTTTTGCACAGATAGATACGGAGTGAGAAAGAAAGGAGTTCCAGGGTTCTGCCTAGAGATAGGGGAAAGACAGGAGAAGGATTAGGTTTGTGGAAAAGGTCAGGATTTCTTTTTTTCTGGTACTGGGGATGGAACTCATGACTTCCCGATTGCCAGGCATGCGGTTATGCCACTGACCTAAATCCCTGGCCCTTAGGATTTCTGTTTTGATGTGTTAAGTTTGGAATAAATAATAGACTTCAAACTGGAAACACCATATAGGTACCTGAATATATAATTTGGCTTTCATGAAGAGATGAGGTCTGGAATATATAGTACAGCAAACAGCTGCTATTTACACCATGAAATTTGATGACAGCAACAGAGAACACAATGTATCTAAGCAAGCCCCAAAGACTCAATTTTGTGGTCATTCTTTTTGAGACAGGGTCTCACTTTGTAGTGCAGGCTGGCCTCAAACTCCAGATGAGCCTCCTGTCTCAGCCTCCCCAGTGCAGGACCAGCCGCCTGTGGTGCTAGTGAACGCCTGTAATTCAGCAATTGAGAGGCTGCGGGAAGAGGATTCCTCAGTTAGAGACCAGCCTGGGCTATGTAGGGAGTTCAAGGCCAGCCTGAACTACATAGTAAGACCTGATCTCAAAAAACAAACATAAAAAACAAAACAGAAACAAACAAAAAGGCCAAGGACAAAAGAAGAGTGAACAAAAGACACTAAGAGGTTAGGTGACTGTGAGACAGGTGTGTGTCGTCTCAGAAAGCAAAGAGACACTAACCAAAAGGGTGCACTCAACTGAGTACAACACTGATTTCAGGACAAGTAAGATGAGGTTGGAGGATGAGAAAAACACTCCCTCCCTAAAGACAGCGAACGTCATTCAACTAATCTCTACTCCTCCTTGTCCCTGAAACAACACTGATTTTTCTGAATGAAATAGTCCATTTGTTTTCTCCTGGGCTAGACTTCAGGCCTTAAATCCACACACGTCTATCTTGCTGGTTTCTGTATCAAAACCATCTAAACTCCCAGCACGGTGCGAAGTGCTATGCAGGCAGGAATTCCATAAACAGTAAGCCAATGGACACAATGCTAGAACTCAGGGGCGCCAGCGCTCACTTTCGGTTGGCTTGACTGTGGGATGCCGGAACCTTGGAGTGGGCGTGAAAGGCTCTGGCCAGGGCCCAGCTCCCACTTACTCCAAGAGTGTAATGTAGACCCCTCACATTCCAAGCGATTCTGGGGCTGGGCTCCTTTTAAAGCACCACCCAAACGCAACTCACTTCCCCCTCGCTCGCCCAGGGGCCCCGAGCTCACCCAGTTGCGTGGCGCGATCCCGTGGCCTGGCGGGTCGGTCCCCACTCCCGTGCTCCGCCTCGAGCTCCTCCTGTTGCTGCCGGGCTTGCTGTAGAATCCGCCGGCTGAGCCGCGGCCCCACGTACTCTTCCTCCTCTTCGGTTCCGCGACCCCGGCGCTTTTCCCGGGCCCCTGCCCGCACCGCATCTCCAGCCAAGATCTGCTCGGCCAGGGGTGCATGCTTTTCTTGACTCCCGGCCCCACGGGCCGGCTTAAACTTGGGCATTTTACTCCGAAAAGTTGCCGAGAAGGTTTACACGTGGGTACGCCGAAAAGCACTGAGTGCGCTTGTGCGATGAACTCCTAAGCGTGCAAGAGGCTACTCAACTTCACAGCGCCCCCAGCGTTCGGAGGTCGGAAACGTACTAGGACGGTCCCACCTCTCCAAGAGCTCTGGGTCCTAGAACGAGAATTGGGATTCCCAGATAAATTCATCGCCTTTAAAGTTGAATTCTTTAGCTGATGCAGTTCATAGCCGTGTTTCTCAAGCCTCTTGAAGCTAAGCTTAGGTGCTCAGGCAAATCGCCATTTCCAGAGTTGCAAAGCTAGGGGGCGGGGCCTGAGCGTCGGCGTCGCTGGATACGTCACCGAAGGAGACACGCCCCGTTCCTTGTGCGCTCACGTTCCGGCGCTCGGTTTTGACGTATTTCCGGAGCTTCTACGCCAGTGCTCTGTGTTGCGGGGGGCTTCAGTGCTTGTGGGTGCTATAACTGTATCCTCGATCAGCGATCTGATAGTGCCAGCCTTTGAGCCTAGCGCCATGGGAGTGACTTGGTAGGATTTCAGGGGCCTTGTGGGGTGGGGCCTGGAGTTGTGAGCATCTTTGGAGGCCGCACTAAGCCCGGGAGGAGATTGGGGACCGAGGTCTGCTGTCCCCCAGGAGCTGAGCAAGATGTTCTCGGCTTGCGTGGATAGGAGGCTTTCCCCCCTTTTTCCTGGAACATGTGTCCCTTTTTTTTAGAAGGCGCCAGAGAGATTTTATCCCAGGATCTAATCATTGTTTAGTATCTTTTTTTCCCTTTTGTGGAACATTTTCCTGCCCTGAGACCTCAAAATACTCCTCGGGAGTGGCACTTGAGAATACACAATCTCCTCACCAGGACCTACCAGCAGACAGGGCCAGAGAGGCTAAGGGAACAGGAACGAAACGTGTACGTAAATTATGTTAGAGGCATTCGCCTCCACGCCCAGTTTTTCCTTATTTTTAATCCGTCTTAACGGAGCTGGGGATTTAGCTCAACGGCATAAGCACCTGCCTTGCAAGCAGGCGGTCGTGAGTTCGATCTCCGGTACCGATAAAAATGAAAAAGAAAAAAAAATCTGTCTTAACAAGCAAACACATCTCTGAGAGACAGTATAATGGAGTAGATAAGAGCATGGACCTGAAGTCTGGTTGCCTGGCTTCGAGTCTTGGTTACACCTCACATTAACTTTGTGCTCTTATGCGAGTTTGTAAAGCTTTTCTGTATTTCAGTGTTCCCTTTTATAATGTTTATAGATAAACAGTACCTTTCGTGGGGCTGTTGTAAAGACTCAGAGTTAGTTCCTCTAAAGGCCTTAGCACCCTGCTTTTCAGATATTTGACGTTTGGTGGTTGTTACCTACTTTTAAGGGGGAGCCACACAATGAGAAGGAAATCTTGGCAATTCTTTGTTCCATTATTTTAATTAAATTCTTGTAAATATTGAGGCTTCTCTTTCCCCAAGATTGTAAATCTGAGCCTCTTTTCTCTTTGTTCCTAGGCCATGGAACGGGACTTTCTGTGATAGAAATGTTCCATATCAACATTACCCAGTATGTTATCTGCCAGCCCCATGTGGCTTGTGGCTGCTGTACTGGAAACCTCAGGTTCTGAGGGTTAGTAAAGACATGCTAACCCCAAGCAGCATTCTCCCTAATACAGACAGAACTGAACGGATTGCAAGGGGACGGCTTACAAGTAACGCCATTTAGGTGTTACTGGGGATTCAACCAGGGCCTTCCCACAGAGCCACATTCCCAGCCTTTTTAAAAGTTATTTTAGTGGCCGACTGTGTAGGTCAGTGGCATAAGCACCTTCCTGGCAAGGATGAGATCATGAGTTCCATTCCTGGTACTGGGGAAAAGAAGTTATTTTAAAAATTTTGAACAGGGTCTTGCCAACTTGTCTGGCTGTGTTTGAACTTATGACCCTTCTGCCTCAGCTTCCCATGTTATAGGCATGAGCCACCACACCTGGCTTCCCTTTCCTATTTTATGACGCTTTGTTATAAAAGTATATCACGTGGAACTTTACTTGAGCTTCATTATACATCCCATACCTGAGAGGTGCTAGTGTGTTAGGGAGTTCATTGCCTTGGTGAGGCCTGAGATCTGTGCTTTGGTTCTCAGAGGGACTCCCAGGGACAGGGTCTCTACTTTTTTGTCCTTAAGGAGCTGGGTCCAGGTACACGTCCCTGCTGAGCCGTCATTCACATTCAGGGCACAGGTAAGTGGCTCAGCCAGTGCAAGTGTCTCTGGACACCCATGACTTGGTGCTCTCCTTTCCAGTGTGTCCCAGATGCCTGTGGCTGAGGGCAAGAGTGTCCAGCAGACAGTGGAGCTCCTCACCCGGAAACTGGAGATGCTGGGGGCAGAGAAGCAGGGGACGTTCTGTGTGGACTGTGAGACATACCACACGGCTGCCTCCACTCTCGGCAGCCAAGGTCAGTGAGATGGGCCTGTGGGGTGGCTATGGGAATGGTCTTCATGGACATTCGTGTCCATTGACTTTGTCCTTTCTGCTAAGGGTGGTGTTTTGAACATGTGGCTAGGTTGGGGTTTTGTTTTGTTTGTTTTGCTTCGTTTTGAGATGGGTCTCACTGTGTAGCCCAGGCTGGCCTTTGAACTCATTGTAATCCTTCACTCGGGCTTCCAGAGTGCTGGGTTTACAGGCATGCACCACCGCACATGGCTGGCTGTCTGGCAAGACTTCTGAATTCATTACTTCTTAGTAATGAAAGAATTTGTCTTTTAGACCTGGCCTATTGTGATCTTTTTACAGCTGAAACTTTTTTTTTTTAAAGCTTTATGGAGGCATAACTAAAGTATAAACAGTCATACACATTTAATGCATCTTGAGTTGACTCTAAACTTCATACGACATAGGGACAGATCTATGATGCCATCATCAGAACCCAGACAATAAACCCATCATATCAAAAAAGTTCTGCAGGTTTTCTTTTGTACGGTTTGAATTCTTAAAGCAGGGTTTTTGCCGACAGTGTTGGTATATACCTATAATCCCAGGACTTACTACATAGTAAGACCCTGTCTCAAAAACAAGGGGCTGGGGATTTGGCTCAGTGGCATAAGCACCTGCCTAGCAAACGTGAGGTTGTGAGGTCATGAGTTCGATCCCTGGTACCAAAAACAAAACCAAACCAAACAAACAAAACCCCCGAAAAACAGTGGTTTTTGAAGAATTGTTAAAAAACTGCATCAGAAATACCTAGGTTACTCCTAATGATGTATCTTTCTGTCCCTGCTTACCAGGTGACTCTAGATGTCATAATGCATATTTTAAACTCCCCAGATAATCCTTATATGCTCTGAAGTTTCAAGATTTTATTTAGGCCCTCTATATTTATTTATTTATTGTCTTTTTGAGACAGGGTCTCGCTATGCAGTTCAGGCTGGCCTTGAACTCACTTTGTAGCCCAGGCTGGTCTTCAACTTGCAGTGATCCTCTTGCCTCAGCCTCCCAGATGCTGAGATTACAGGTGTGCAATATTTTTGTTTTTGGAGACAGGGTTTTGCTGTGTAGGTCAGACTGGCCTTGAACTCACTAATTAGCGCTGGCTGGCCTCAGACTTACAGCAGTTCCCCCATCTCAGCCTCCCAAGTGCTGAGATTATGGGTGTGCACCCCCACATTCCTCTTAGAGCCAAGAATCTTTGTATCTGACTCTGAGCTGTAGAGTCTGTAGATCTATGTAAAGGCTTCCTGTTTCCCCCAACTGGCCGGTGTTCTTGGCCACCTCATTAGCATGATCTTGACAGATGAGTCAAGTTTTGGGTTTTTGGGCTAGAGTGATGAGACGGGTGTAGATGGTGCTTGTGATGACAAAAAGGGAAAGAGAATCTTTGCATGTGAGTTAGGGAACCTGGTTTTCTTAGCCTCGGCTCTACAGTAACGGCCTAGGACAGTGTCGTAATACAGAGAGCCCTTGTTCATGGGGCAGAGGCCAGGGGGCTGGAGCCCTGCATACTAACTTCAGCAGTAGGCAGGTCCCAATGCCTGTGTGTGGCTGTTGCCCTTGGTCACTCCCTGCACTTGCCCTCCTCGCTCCCTTCAGGCGTGGGAGGCATTGGGGAAGACTGGTGCATGGCGGGAGGGGTAACCACTGTATTCCTGTCTCTGCTTTGGGCAGTGCCACCGGCCACGCTGCATCGTCTATGTGGTTCTGGCCCCTGCTCAGTAGCCCTCCTTCCTGGCTCATCTTTTCTTTCTCCTTCCAGGCCTAAGGGTGGAGTGACTTCCTGTGTTACTAATCTTTGTGTTACTTCATCATCCTGTTGGGCTTTCTATTCTCTTAACCCTGTTTTTGTTTCCTAAATAATTGCTTCTACTGAAACTCTGGCATGGCTCTGTTTTTCTTTTTTGTTTGTTTGTTTTTTGTTTTTTGGAACAGGGTCTGGTCCTGCAGTCCAGGCTAGCCCTGAACTCACTATGTAGTCCAGAATGGCCTCGAACTCACATCAGTCCTCCTGGGTCAGGCTGTCAAATGCTGGGGTTATAGGCATGGTCACCATACCTGGCTGTTGCGATTTTTAAAAAAAGTGTGAAATGCCTTTTCATTGAAAAATCGCTTTAATTGCTTTTAAAGTACTTCCAAGACCATCATGCCACACAGCATGGATTAAGTGCATGACTACAGGGAGGGGCCCTGAGGACAGATGTGCACCAGTTTGAGGGGCTTTTCTTAGGGGTGTTTTGAACTGGTTCTGGAGGAAGGGCAGGGTGTGGTTTGGAGGTCTGCGTGCAGGAGATGGGCTGCAGGCTGTCTGCAGGGCCTGCCGTGTGTCAGGAGGTGGCAGCAGAGCTGAGCTCTGCAGTCCAGGAAAGTCCCTCAGCCCTGCTGGGCCCTAGGCCTGCTGTCCTCTCCCAGCTCCCTTGCCGCGTGCTTCTTCCTGCCCTGAGTGTCACCCTTCCCTGGATGTGGCTGCATGTGGCTGTGTCCCTCTTCATATCCCCCTGCACGGCCTGTTCCCCTGCTGACTCTTTCCCACTTCTGTCTCTTCCTAGCCTGTGGCTTTCTGTCCTTTTAGCGACTTCTATGTTTCCCAGCTGATGACTTGTTTTACTTTGTGCTCTTTTGGCCTTCTCTCAGAACATTTCACCCCTGACCCTCCATGAGATTGTCAGCTTCTTTAGTCTGGGGACTAAGTTGTCTCCAGGGAGGTCTTTGAGGCCTGGCACGGTATGGGGAGGTTTAAGAACACACCAAACACTTGCGATTGTGACAGCCTGTCCATTACCTCTTACGGTTTATTAAAGGAATCTTACTTTCCATTGACATAACTTTTATTCCTTGCAAAAAAACCTATAGAAAGGAAAGAACGAACAAAAAAGTCCTTTCTCAGAAACTAAAAGGACTGAGCTGCAGCTTTGAACTGGGTCTTATTATCCTAGATCCTGGTTCCCTCTGCTGTAGAGTGCCGGTTGCTGCTTAGATCTGCAGGCCTTCTTAGAATACTCTAGGGGTCCCCGCTTGCCTTCAGATGAGACCTCACCTTCCAGAGGCCTGGCGCACAGGCTTCATCACAGGTTGGCCCTGGCCTGCCTCATAGTCCCGTGCTGGCATTCTCCGCTTTTTCTCCCTGCTGCTCCAGGACTTTGTCCCGGATATCTAAGGGGAAGAGCCAAGGTAGGAGGGGGTGCAGCTGCCTCACTGACCTGCCTACATGCTGTGATTTTACTTATCAGCGCATATGTGACAATTACTAAAATGTGTGCTAGTGATGATCAGAATTAGGCATCTGTCTCCAAGCTCCCCATACAGTTTAACAGTGAAGCAGTCATCAACCCGCTCAGAGTTCCAGGTGCCCCACCCCACTGACCTCTACTGCCCTTCTGGAAAAGGCCTTTAATTGCAAAGTCTTCCCTCTCACACTGCCAAGGTGACACATTTGCCCTCTGGCTGTCCTCTCTGCCCATGACTGTTGTGGGGTGTGCCCGTGACAGCCCTGTAACGCGTAGGGCTCTGTCCCCGCAGGTCAGGCTGGGAAGCTGATGTATGTGATGCACAACTCTGAGTACCCACTGAGCTGCTTCGCCCTCTTTGAAAACGGCCCTTGCCTCACCGCTGACACCAATTTTGATGTGCTCATGGTGAAGCTCAAGGGCTTCTTCCAGAGCGCCAAGGCCAGCAAGATCGAGACCCGGGGTACCCGCTACCAGTACTGTGACTTCCTGGTGAAGGTGGGGACAGTCACGATGGGGCCCAGTGCACGGGGCATCTCCGTGGAGGTAAGACCTTGGGGAGCTAGAGCAGGGTGCGCAGGGTTCGGCTTAGCAGAGGGCTCTGAAGATCTGACCCCAGCAGGGGGTATGGCAGCCCAGGCCTGTAATTCCTATACTGAGAGAGGCTGAGGCAGGAGGCTCCAAAAGCAAGTTAGTAAGGTCCAGACTCAAAAGAAAGGTGGGTGCTGACGATGTAGCTCAGTGGTAGAGCACCCCAGTTCAAATCCTCATACCACAGAAAGGCCCCAAAATGTTCCCCAGTCTTGCCCAGTTCAGCCTGGCCTGGATGGGTGCATGCCTGGTCCCTTTCTCCCGAGGACCTGTGCTTCCCTGCCAGGATCTTTTATCTTTTCTTTAATCCTTCTTCTCACCCGGGATTGGAAGGGGAAGTGGCCACACCAGGTAGAACGTGTGGGAAGCCTGGATCGCTGGAGAAGGGTTGGGTCGTCCAGAAGAGGAACTTAGGCACGAAGGACTAGCCAGCCCTTCCGAGGAGGACTCGAGGCACGCTTTCTGCCGCGTGTGTCCGCACATCGTGGGTGTGAAGAAGAAATGTGTCTTGCCTCTTGGTATGCTGTCTGCTTCCTCTTGTGTGAGAGGCAAAGAGGGAGATGGGCAGTAGCTGATGTCGGGGTCAGTGACAGTCCACACCCTGCCACACGCTCAGCACTGGAGGAGAGACTTACAGAAGTAATCTTACAAGGCTTGTTTTGAAAAATCAGTTAGCATAAGATTAAGACTGAAACACAAGAGCGATTTCTTTTTTTTCCAGTATTGGAGCTTGAACCCGGGGCCTTCACACTGGGCTACATCCTTTTAACTTTTTACTTTGAGACAGAGTCTCAGTAATTCACTGAATCGCCCAAGCGATCCTCCTGCTTCTGCCTCCCGGTATGCTGGGATGACAAGTGCGCCTAGCACCACGCAGTGTTTGAAGTTAGTCTAAGAAACACCATAAAAGGGGCACAGTGGTTCTGGGAATTCAGCTGGCAAGAGCCCTGCTGACTGGTTGGGAAGCTTCCATGTTAGGCAGGGGCTTAAGCCATAAGAGACCTAGAGAAGATGAGTGGAGGAGCCAGAAGGAGCCTGGGGGAGTTTCCGCTCAGGAATTTCAGAGCCGAGACTTCCCAAGCCATGTCAGTTATGGTGTGCCTGGACATGCTGAGCCCCGGGGTTCCCGTCAGCCTCCGAGTTTCCAGCTGGTGGTAATACACACCCCGGGTTTCTTCCTTACGTTTCCTTGTGGCTGCTCTCAAGGAAATTAGACTGTGAAAACCTAAGCATGTGTCCTTCGGCCTCTGCCACATGGGCTGGGACACTCATTCTCAGGGTTGGAGCCGAGCCTGGGTGGCCCTCGAGTCTTGAGCATGGCCTTGGGGACCCATAGGAGTCTTACTCCACGTTTAGTTTCCTTTCCTCCTTCCTCCCTTTCCTTCCTCCCTCCCTCCCTCCTCCTCTTTCCTTCCCCACTCCTTCCTTCTCTCTTCCTTGCTTTTCCTTCCTCTTCTGTTCTCTCAGCATTCCCCTGGGCTCTCCTCAGATGTCACCCAGGATGCTCAGTCCAGGGTCCACCTCTGGGGCTGTGGCCAGGCCCAGCTGCAGGAGGAGAACATCAGATGCCAGTGGGAAGGCTGTGGGCTGGGGCAGTTGAGTATTTTCCCTGGCCAACACTGGGTTAGAAGGGGTGTCTTTTCTTTTTTTACTTTGGTGTTTTTGGGTTTTTTGTTGTTTTCATTTTTGATACAGGAGTGGAGCTCGGGGCCTCACGCTTGCCCTGAGGCACTGTGCCACTGACCTACATCCCTGGCCCTTTTAGGTTCTTTTTGAGACAGAGTTTTCCTATATCCTTCAGGCTGGCCTTGGTTTCACTATGTATCCTCCTGCCTCAACCTCTCAAGTGCAGGGATTATAGACTTCACTACCACACCTACTTCTGGAGGCATGTCTTCGACCAGGACTGGAGAAGTTGGCAAAAATAGAGGAGAAGCAGCCCTGATCCTTGCCCTGGCTCACCTTCCCTCTGTCTCCTTGGTCCCAGGTGGAGTATGGCCCCTGTGTGGTGGCCAGTGACTGCTGGAGCCTGCTGCTCGAGTTCCTGCAGAGCTTTCTAGGCAGCCACACGCCAGCGGCTCCTGCCGTGTTTGGGAACAAACATGACGCTGTCTATGGCCCAGCAGACACCATGGTGCAGTACATGGAGCTCTTCAACAAGATCCGCAAGCAGCAGCAGGTGCCGGTAGCTGGGATTCGGTAGTGACTGGCAGTGCCAGCTGAGCCATGCCAGGGTCCTACCGAGGAGCCGAGGCCTCCCTCAGGGCCCAGGGCCCAGGACCAGAGAGATGCGGGACCTCCTCTCCCTCTGTGCCCCAGCCTGGGCTATGTTATGGGCTCTGCACAGCCTCCCTCCCCTTGGGCGCTTCCCCAAAGCCTCCAGCAGCTGCTGAATGGGATTTGGCCTGTCCTCAAGAATAGTAATTAGAAGGTGTGGAGACACTTGGCCCTTTGCTGCTTTAGGGGAAAGGTAGGACAGGACCTCCCTGCCCCAGCTTGGAGGGTTTGGCCTGGGCCCGGGGCTGCGCTGTGCTCCACTACGTGTGTGGCCGTGCTGTGCTGAGCCCCTCCTGGAGGTAGAGGGGGGCCCAACTGATAGGGTGGTTCTCATTTTGTGACCTGCTTGCTGCAGTGATTGGGGGAACTGACTTTCCAGAGGTGTGGCCTGAGTTCTTTGAGCTCTCCTGATACCTTTCCCTGTGGTTTTGAATTATGTGAATCCACAGGCTAAATTATCGTAACAGAATCAGAAGAAAGTGGCTTCTCACTAGATAGAAGTTTAGCTTTCCCCCCTCTCTCTTTTTTTTAAATGTCTTTTTGAGACAGCGCAGTTCAGGCCAGCCTTGAGCTCACTTTGTAGCCCAGGCTAGTCTCTGAATTTGCAGTGATCCCTCTGCTGCAGCCTCCAGAGTGCAGGGATTACATGTGTGTGTCACCATGCCTGTTAACAATGTGCCCAGTTTAGCTTCTCTTGTTGACAGTTCAGAGGTTAGCAAGAGGCCAAGGTAAATTTAATTCTGCACGGTTATCAGGTGCTCTGTTTTCTTACTCAACCTCCCCTAGGACACTGGCCTTACGCACAAAGCCAGAGCAGGCATACAAGTTCCATGTCCGCATTCCACTGCAGAAATAGAAAAGCTCACTTCTGCCCCTGTTCCACTCCTCCCTTCCCTTCTTCTCATGCTAGAGATTGAAACCAAGACCTTCCCACTGAGCTACATCCCCAGCCCTTTTTAAATATTTTTATTTTGGGACAGGGTCTTGCTAAACTGTTAAGTTGCCCAGGCTGGGCTTGACCCTCAAAGTGCTGGATTTCAGTGTACCCAGCTAGCATTTCTTTTCTAATGGCGTGTGACCTAGAGTGCTCAAATCATTGTGGCCACACTTTGGTGAAAGGTATGCCCTGGTCTGGGCAGCCATGTGCCAGGTGAAACTTGAGGGGTGCTGTGACTAAAAGATGAAGGACAAGCAGGGTGTGGTGATGCAGGCTTGTAATCCCAGCATTGGGGAGGCTGAGGCAGGAGGATGGCTGCAAGTTTGAGGCCAGCTTAAAGTGCATAATGAGACCTTGTCTCAGCAACAACAAAAAAGATGAGACTCTAGGAACGGAGGCCCAGTGAGTGACCTCTGCTCCGTGGAACTCAGCAGACACACCCAGGAATGCATTGGCAGCCATTCTGCAGTCTTGTTAGCCGGGCTGGGATAAGGACCGAGCCCAGAGCCACTGTGAGCTTAGCAGGATTAGTCACAGTGGGGAGTTGGCTCTGCACCCAGCCTAAGCTCTCTGCAGCCCTCACAGCTCAGAAGAGTGGCTGAGCTTGACCCCTGCACCAGGATTTGTGGTTTCTTGGGTTCTTTCTGCAGGCGTCCTTTGAGCCTCCAAACGACTCCCTTGGCTTCCATGCTCATCTCCTTGTCTCCTGCTGCAGAAATGTCTGGCCAAACATTTGGAATATACAAATGGTCTTGTCAAAGCTTTTTTCATGGGTTAGGGGTTGTTTGTCTTACACAGTTCTGGGGATCAAGCCTTAGCCCTTTTGTAGTTTTAGACAGAACCTTGCTAAGTTGCCCAGGCTGGGTTTGAATTTTGCCACCCTCCTGCTTCAGCCTCCCAGGTGGCTGGAATTATAGTCACACGCCACCACGCCCATTGCAAAATTGTTGATGTACCTGGTGCAGTCGTTATCAAGGATACCATCCATCCTTGCAGGCATCTGAAGAGAAATTGTTTTCAGGGCACATACCTGGGACCCGAGTCAGGCACTGGTCATGTTTCCCGTCTCGCTTTGGCAGGAAGCTCAGTTCCTCTTCCTCATTGCAGGATCTGTTATTTGCCTTTTTTGTCCCTTCCCTGTTTTTGTTATTTTGTCTTTACTCTTTAAATCTTGAGGTATGTTTTAGGCATCATTTGTATACAACAAATGCTCCAATTTTATGTTTTTAGTCTTCTGATTTATATTTGCTCTTGTCCAGGTCTATTTGTTTTTTACTTTAGGGAGCCTCAAGACTTGAGACACTGGGGAGGCTGGATTTTGTGAGCTACATGTTCTTACAAATTGAATGTGGGAAATAAGGTACTTACTATAAGAAGAGGCTTGGTTCCCTGCAACTGAAAAATATGCACAATATAAAATTGTTTGTATTTTGCTTTTTAGGCATAGTCTTTATTTACACATGTCCAGCTTTTTTGACTCTTGTTTGCTTGTGTTTAAGCACATACATGTTTTCCGTTTTGTTTTCTGTTTTTGAGGGTCTTGCTGTGTAGTTCAGGCTGGCCTTGAACTTGCTGTGGTTACTGCCTCGGTCTCCCAAGCACTAGGATCTCAGGCATGCCACACTCTGGAGCACGTTTGGCCAGCCTTGAAGCCAGAGACTGACAAGTGAAGTTTGAACTAGCATGTGGGTACTTTTGTCTGTCTTTGTCGTTTTGTGTCAATGAAAGGAAATGTACTAAAAGATGTGAATTGTTCCATTTTCCATGTGCACTGAGAGTGGTTCCACCCGAGGTTGCCAGGTGAACTCATGATTGGTGGGAAAGTCTGAAAGGGGCTTTCATGAGTAGTTTAGGGGACAGTTGTCAGTGTGTCATTTCTGAAAGTTTAGGTTTAATGAAAATTGGGTGCTGTTTGTATAAATTTAAGGGGGGAAGAGGATAGTTACACCCATTTTATAAATAAAAAATCCTAAACTCAATACATGAAAATGCTGTATTTTTGCTTCACCTCTGGGGCCCCTCCTTTTCCACTTCCTTCCCACCCCTCCATCCTCTGTTTGGAGATGCTGCAGCCTCTCCCCACCTGCAGTACCCTAGAGAGCAGGATCAGAAACTTCTCCTCTCATGTGGAGTTGGTGGGGACATTGCCAGCCTTGGCGGAAGTGCCGAGCAGGCAGCTTTGAGCTCCTCTTGGGGGCTGTGCCTCCCGGAGGTCTCAGTGAATGATGGTGGAGGCAGAGCCCGGCTTCTTTCTGCTCAGGACCCCTGGCTGCCAGCAGGGCCACGAGTGGCGCCTGGACCACTGGGGGGCTGGGTACTGTTAGGTGGAATTGGCCACATTTTAGACTAGCTCAGGGTCTCATTCTAACCACCCAGTACTTTATTCCGCAGGAGGAGGCTCATTTTTAAGTCATTTTAAAGGGATCTCTGGCTTCGGGACAGGCAGTGCATGGAGACTCCAGAATGTGTCGCTGTGGAAGGCAGATGCTGGTTGTGTGTGTCCCTTAGAGCCTCCTGCTGTTCCATTCACTGTCACTGTTGCTGCTGCTGTCACTGTCCCTGCCCATGCTGCCTCCTGCTGGTGTCCTCAGATACTGTGCACCAAGCCATCACGGTGCTCCTGCCACCTACTGGTGTCAGTGCTGCCTGAAGGATAATTGTTAGAGCCTGGCCCTGCCTTCCTGTCACCAGAGCTTGCCCCACCTATGTGTCTTGAGGCTGCAGTGGGAAGGGAGGTGGCCACGTTTTTCTCTCTCCCAGTCCTCAAGCATGAGACTTATGGTAGGAAATTCCTGGCTCTGCACATGTTTTGGGTGTAAAGTCACACTTGAAGTACAGGTACAATAGGTCGGGAGCCAAAGGGCAGGACATTTTGAAGCCCTTCGGTTGCTGTAGAAGCAGGCAGGACGGGTGTCCAGGCCCCTTCTCCAAGGCAATGCCTGTTACTCTACAGTGCCCCCTCACAGCTGAGCTCTCTGCATCTGTAACTGGCCACTGTAGGCTGTGGACTCTAATCACTACTGCCTGTGGCACAGTGGACACCACTTGAGTGACAAGTCCGGGGTTTGGTGTCTTTGCCTTGGAGCCTCACTTCTCAAGAGGGGGACATTTCCCCCATCAGGACTTTCTACCACCGCATGGAGCATCCCAAGTCAGTCTCTGATGCTTACTTAAGTCTCCCTGTGCCCTCCACTGAGCCCACTGATCTTGAGTTGCCTTATCTAGGGACATCCTTTGCCTTGTATTTAATTCTTTTGTCATCTCAGAGACAAACACCCACCACACCTGTCCTAAGTGCCCCAGATCACAGGACTGGACTGTGCTTAAAGAGAGAATTTGTTAGGTCCTCCCGGAGGGTGAGAGGATGGCGACTCTAAAGGTGTGTGTGTGTGTGCACGGACGTATTTGTGTTCAGTGCCCATTCTATGTGTGCTCAAGCTGCCATTGAGCGGCACTTGACTCTGCAGCAAGGCTTCCTTTTTTTCCCCCTGTCCAGGTTGGCCCTGAACTCCTGGGCTTCAGCGATTCTCCTGCATTAACCGCCTGAGAAGCTGGGACTACAGGCATGTGTCACTGTTCCTGGCTGGACCATGGTTCTTAATGGTCCAGCTGTTTCACATTGGAGTTTCAAGATGACTAAGATGTCCTGAAACTCGAAAGAATTTTGTGGACCTGTGTTCCTTCTTTTTGGAATAGGATATATGTTTCACTAGGCTATCTGAAATATCTGTAATTAAAATAGAACCAGGAGTCTCTAAAGGGGAAACAGATCCCCAACGGGAAACAGCATGCAGAGTGAAGCACGTATCAGATAGGTCCAACCAGTGCTTTGTTACCGCTGCCTCCCCTGCCATTTGAACCCCACATCTGGGCTCCTCACTGTAGTCATCCACTTGACTTCAGTCCTGCAGGCCACTCAGGGAGTGGGAAGGTGTGCTGTTCATTTGTTTTCCTTACTGTAAGTTTCTCCTTCCTTTTAGAAATTAGCAGGAGTGGGGCTAGGGATTTAGCTCAGCAGTATAAGCGCCTGCCTTGCAAGCAGGCAGTCATGAGTTCCATCCTCAGTACCGATAAAAAGGAAAAAAAAAAAAAAGTTAAGAAATCAGCAGGAGTGAATGGTGAATGCATGTGGAGCAGACTTAGCCCGCTCACAATATATATATTTTTTTGTTTTACAGTATGATGTGGTTGATGAGACAGAAATAGTTTCTACCCTCTATGATGAAATTAGCTAGTAAAAAAATAACTGCGCAGTACCTCAGTGATAAGAGCTCTTGCCTAGCATGTGCAAGATCCTACGCTAAGTCTCCAACATTGCAAAACAAAACCAAAATCAAACAAATATGTTGGAATCATCAGGGCAGATTCCTGTAATTCTGCAATTTATGTTTCAGTTCCAACACATACCTTCTGGTCCCATAGCATAGGTGTTTTTAAGGTTAATAATAAATTCTGAATTTCCTGTGGAAGCTTTGGAAAAGCGTTTAGGGATCTCACGGTATGGAGCCTAAGTCGTCCTGAAGCCAAAATTGAGTATTGGAAATCTGTACAGGGAAGGCAAGGCTGGAGATGTGGAGGTGACAAGTGGCCTTCTGTGACCGCGGCCTTTGACAGATGGCTGGGTGCTAGCCAGAGCACTGGCCCTCAGGTACCAGATGAAGGAAGTTAGGCCCAGGTCTCTGGGTCCCATCTCCACAGTGGGATACTGGTGTCCGCTTTCCCGATTTGAGTTGTTGAGCAGTTCAGAGAATGGCTAGGAAGAGCACTGTAGGCAAGGGTGCCTTGTCCCTGCTTGTCTTCACGGCACTGAGGACACTGGAGTATGGTGAGCATGTTTAAGAGGTTGCAGACGTAAGGCTTCCTGGAACTAGGCTGTAATCTGCAACACAAAGACTTTTGTGACAGCGGTGTACAGAGCCTCGAGGAACTGTTTGTTGCACCAGTGTGTTTTCTGTAACCAGTGGCACAGCTGCATGACCATTGCTGGGTTATGAAAAATAATGTTAAAAAAAAAGTTTTTAAAAAAAAAAGGGCTAGAGATTTAGCTCAGCGGCATAAGCACCTGCCTTGCAAGCAGGCAGTCGTGAGTTCGATGCCCCGGTACCGATAAAAAAAAGAAAAATAAAAAAAAAAAAAAAGAAAAATAATGTTTTGGGTTTTTTTTTTTGAGGCAAGGTCTCACTATGTAGTTCACGCTGACATTGAACTCACTGTGTAGTCCAGGCTGGCCTGAAACTCAGTACCCTCCTGCCTCATCCTCCAGAATGCCGGGATTACAGGTATGTACCACCATGCCCAACAGGAAATATGTTTTTACTTTATTTATTTTTGGTTACTGGGAACTGAACTCAGGACCTCACACTTGCCAGGCAGGTGCTGTGTCACTGAGCTAAATCCCCAGCTGGAAATACATTTTTATCCATAGGTATGACATTCATCCTAAAGGGCTGGACTACACAAAAAGTAGAAATGTGATAGCTTTATGTGTAAAGTAAATCCTTTATTTCTCCTCAGCCCTTCAGCCTGAGTTGTACCTGTCCCTGAGTGTTTTTAAACACAAGTATGACTGTTAATCAGTTGTATTTTTAAAGTGTGCTCTTGTTTCTTATTTCTGTTTGATAAACTTTTTTTTTTTTAAACTGGGGATTGAACTATGGCCTTCCTACTAAGTAAGCTACAGTTCCCAGCCCTATTTATTTATTTTAACTTATTTTTTGAGACAGAGTCTTGCTGTTCATTCAGGGTGACCTCAAACTATGTGGTCCAAGCTGGCCTCATACTTGCAGTGATCCTACCTTAGCCTCTCCAGGGCTGAGATTACCACTACCATGTGCACCACCATGCCCTGCTTAGTCTCTTAACTCTGAGGTGACAATAAAATTATTAATAAGCCCCAGACTTGTCCGATTTGAATTACTTACAATAGCCTTGCTATTCTTTCCTCTTAATAATTTTTAAACCTTTTTATCTCAGGACCCATGACATTCTTAAATAGTATCGAGAACCTTAAAAAGCTGTGTTTATGTAAGGTGTACATACCCCGGCTACTGATGTCTACCTTATTAACTTTAAAAAAATTGGAATAGTTAACAATTTGCCAGGCATGGTGGCAAACCCTTATAATCCCAGCACTCTGGGAAGCTGAGGCAGGAGGATTTTGAGTCCAACCTGTTCAACTTAAGAGATTTAGTGTGACTGTCTCAAAATAAAAAGGTCTGGGGATGTAGCTTAGTGCAAAATGCCTGGATTGCATGCCTAGCACTATAAATAAATATAGTAAATAATTAGCTCATTTTAAATGAGTGTACACTCAGCACATGTTAACCTAAAAGTTTTCAATGAAAAATATGTTCCAAACAAACTTTTGTTAAGTGTCACTTTCTTCTTTCTGCAAAACCCTCGAAGGGCTGGTGTAATAGACATTCGGCTTTTCCTACCTGCTTTTGAATTCAATCTACTACAATATGTTGTTTTGGTTGGAGAATATGAGGTAAAGCCAACCTGTTAGGTCAGGACAGTATGCCCAGGACCCCGCTCAGGCGGCTTTCTTGTCCAGATCCCCGCCCCCGCCATCGCCCGGGCCCTTAAGGCTCCCACGTGCCGAGCCTCTTCAGTCCAGGGTGGCCGCTGTTCCCGCCTGGGCCATCCGTGTCCTAGTCAGCTGCATGCCAGGTTCTGAGAGCCGAGTAACTTCTGCGAACGCTGCCTCCGAAGCCAGGCTGCTGTTGCTTTAGGAACGGCACGATAAGGAAAACAACAAAAACAGAGACCGAGAGTGAGAAAACTGCCTCTTCGCAGTGGGCAGCGAAGTCGAAGATGAACCTTCAGGACTACAAGGAACTCAACCTAAACTCCCCGGGTCCGGGGAGGTGTGCATTGGGAGAAGGGCGGCGAGGGCGGGGAGTCCCTGGCCCTTTAAGGAGGAGGGACAGACCCGAGAGTCTGTACCTTTAAGTCTCTTTGTCTGGACACCTTATTTACCCTCACGTGCGTCAACCAAACTTCGACCAGGGATTCTTGGTGTGCCTCTACGCTGCTGTCTCTCGATCCAGGCTCCAGGGGACCGCGCGACGACTGCGGACCCGAGACGGTGCCCGTGACACAAACCCGCGAGGAACTCGCTAGGGCCAGGGTCGCTAGCCCGCGCCGCGCTGTTGGCGCAATGCGGGACCGAGGGCGGAGCTTCGGGGGGCGGGCCAATGGGCGGGTGGAGGGCGGGGCATGGCCGGGGGACGGGCCAGTGGGCTTGCAGGAGGAGGGGCCGACCGGGCGAGCTCGCGCCCCGGTGACAGCTCGCGCGTGCGGAGAATGGCGGTAAATAGAGGGGGGCCGGGCGGGGGCGGAGGCTGAGGCCGCTGAGGGCCGCCCAGGGTGGGATACCGGGGCTCGGCAGCCACGGCGGCCGGGAACCCGCTCCGAGGCCCGGAGGCGGGGACGGGCAGGCCCCGGCGCTGGAGCCCTCCCCTTTAAAGAAGCCGGACTCTTCGCACCCGGGTGAGGGGCGACAAAGGCGGCGCGAGCCGGGCGGGCGGGAGGCGGGGGGGCGGGGCCGCGCGGGGCGCCGAGGGCGGCGGGCCCGGGGCGCGGAGGCGCTGAGGGGGAGGCCAGGTTAGCGGGAAGGGAGGAGCTGGCGGGCGGTGCGGTGCGAGGGGCAGCCGGGTGGGCGTGGGGCGCGGCGGAGACCGGCGGCAGGCAGGGTCCCCGGCTAGAGTCGGAGGGGAGCGCGGTGGGCGCAGACGTGACGAGGGTGCGAATAGCGGGGCGGCGGGGCGGACCCGGAAAGCGGGGAGAGACCCTCGCCCCTCCAGGTGGAGCCGGAGCGAGTGCGGCGCGGGGCGGAAGGGAGGATGGCGAGCCGGGACACGGGCGCCGGTGAGCGGTGCTCGCTGAGGCGGCTCTGCTGGATCCAAAGGGAGAGCAGCGAGGCGAAGAGACGGGGCCAGGCAGGGAGCGGCGGGCCCGGGATGTGAGGCCGGGGATGCTGGGTGCAGGGTTGGGCGCGGGGCCGGGCCAGCCTGCGCCGGGGACGGAGCTCCAGGAGGCCGCAGGGCAACCGCACCGCCGCGGTAGCCGAGGACCCGGGGCACGGGCCTGTGGTGCGGACCAGCGGGAGCTATGGTGAGTACAAGGGGTCCCGGACAGGGGTGGAAACTGCAAAGTAGGGGCCGAGGCGGGGACGCTGCAAGGGAATTCTTTGTTGGAAGAGAAATGCGTGTAGAAACTGTGAGTCCTTTTGTCCCCCAAAGTAGGAAATTGCAGAAACCTCTTTCTGTCTTCAAGGAATCTTGAACCCCGCTTCCACCTTTCATTGCTTTGCGTTCGACTTTCTGTCCACTTTGACTTGGCTTCGGGCACGGGTGAAGGCTGCAGGGCCGGTTCTGAGAACCTGCATTTTACTGATGCGGAGATAACGGGGAACGGGTGGTGTTTATTTAAGTACCTGTGAAATGTGAGAGTTGTGATGGTTGTGGGGTGCTGGTGTTGCGCAGGGGGCAGGGTTTTTAATGGCCAGCGTTTTCATTTTTAACGTATGGTCCACTTTTGTTAGGTTGAAGAGGAGAGTCTTTTTGTTTCAACTAGATTTCTGCTTAGTGGTTTTCAGTGACTGCATTTCACGTAAAGATAAATAAACAGCCAGGGAAGTTTATTGGGAGGGAGATTTAAATCAGGGCTCTGATTTAAACTTAAATTTAGGCTGTCTTTAGCTTTGTATAGGACTTTCATAGTGTAGTAAATAAATCTCCAGTTTAATGAAGTGAAATAAAGAAAGGGAAGATTGTAGCTCTATGGAGCACTTTAGAGTGGTGGACCTAACTTTTAGATTAAATAATGGATTTTTGAGTAATTTCTCATATAATATCTGTAGATAACATTGAACTGAAGTCTTGGACAGCTCCACGTTCTCCCTTGCTTTATGACTGAGTAAAGAAGGTCATGTTAACGTTAATCTTCTAGATTTGAAAACACTTTTGGAAATTAAAAGGAAGATAAGAAATTTGGGACAAAATTCAGATTATACTTAGTCATTTTTGTCCTGAACCTTTTACATTTAGCTAAGAAAATGTGTGAATATTTGTTTTAGTGGTGCCAAAGGATAGTGTGTAATTTACTTAAGAAAGAATGCAAACTGTTTTTGGAATCTTATTTGGTGTTACTTCATTAATATACATTCAGATATACAAAGGTAAATTTCCCCAGGGTGTATAGGAGCAGTGAGAGTAGCCCATTGGCAGAGCATGTGCCTAGGATAAGGCTTTGGTTTGATTCCTGGCACCACAAGACAAAAACAAACCAAAAATGCCAAGAAATGAAATGAAATGTTTAGAAATTTTTAAAAATCAAATGATGCAAAGTAAAGCTTTATTACAAAGTTATGTAACTTTTGGATTGCTACTGTTTTGTGGCTATTTGCAAAAATACTGAAAATTAAATTATGGTCTTTGTAAGAGTTAGTATTAGGCTTTTTTTTTTTTAATGTTTTTTTTTTCAGGTTTTTTTTTTTGGGGGGGGGTCTTTTTCATCGGTACCGGGATGGAACTCACAACTGCCTGCTTGCAAGGCAGGCACTTATGCCGCTGAGCTAAATCCCCAGCCCCTTTTAAGGTTTTTTTGAGATAGGGTTTCACTATGCAGTTCAGACTGGCCTTGAATTCACTTCGTAGTAGAAGCTGGTCTGGAACTTGCAGTGATCCTCCTGCCTCAGCCTCCTGAGTGCTGGGATTATAGGCATGTACCACCATGCTGGCTAGAGAAGTTTTTTTATGTATGTATGTATGTATTTATTTATTTTTGATACTCGGATTGAACTCAGGACCTTGTGCTTGTCAGGCAGGTGCTTGTGCCACTGGGGTTATACCCCCACTAGAGAAGATTTTTATAAGGTACTACTTTTGCCTACCTGGCAAGTGCAAGGTCATGAGTTCAATCTCCAGTACAAAAAAACAAACAAAAAAAAAGGTACTATTTTTGCTGCTAAGTTTTAAGACAATTCATCTGAAGATGTTAACTGTTAAGATGAAGACTAGCTTTGGTACAGGGCCCCTGTTTGTATGAGTTGTATGTGAGTGTTTCCTTCCTTTGTAGATGTGTGGGCTTAGCATTAGTAGGTTGGACTCTCTGTATGGTATTAGTATTTTTAAAACATTGTTTTAAATATTTTTTTTAAGCCAGTCAAATTTAGCAGTGGGGGGGGTGGTATACCAACTTTAGTGACACTAATATTAATAAGTTCTGATAACCCACTGCCATCAGACCAGCCTGTTTTAAATATTTTAAGGCTTATTTGATATCAGCAAAGAAGAAAACAAACTGTAAGATCAATCACAATGGAAAAAAAAAGTCTACCCCAGAGAAAGTTCATTGTTTTTTTTGTGTGCTACTATACTGTGCTAAACCACTGATTAATATTGAATACTTACGTCTTACTTGACTTTTCTAACAGTGGAAATCGACATTCTTTTCATCTAGGTAATACAAGTTATAATATGAGCTATATTTTCTTTTGTTTGTCAAATAGAATTTTTTTTTGTACCAGGGATCAAACTCACAACTGCGTTTGCAAGGCAGGCACTTATGCCGCTGAGCTGAATCCCTGGCCCTGTCAAATAGAAGTTTACTTGACTTTATTTTAGTTATAATCTTAAATCTAAAATGGCAATGTGGCAACCCTTGTAGATAATCTGTTCCGCACTTAATTATTTTTCCCTATCAGAATAGTGTGTCTTCTGTCTAACCAGCAACACTTAATGCTATATTTGTATTTGTTTCCTTTTCCCAATTTCCCTATTGTCAAATTTTGATGATAGAAGTCTGCTTACTTTTTACTTAGTATTTGTAACACCTAAGTTCTTGATACTCTGAATGCTAATAGCTAACCTTTGTATAATGCATTTTTTTTTTTTTTTTGTATACTGCTTTAATGGGAGGCCCTATTATAAGCACTTTACAAGTTGTAACTCATTATTTCCCCCACCGGTCCTACAAAGTGGATGCTGTTACTTTGTGATGGGATAGAGTCCTGGAGATTAAATGACTTGCCCAAGGTTATACCTCTGACATGTCTACTACTGCTTGTTCACAAGTTAATGGTCTTTTTATGTAAACTCTATTGGTGTCAAGTATCAGTGATATGGTCAGTATTGATTTTATTTTACTGTGGTGCTGAGGATGAAATCCAGGGCCTTATATCTGCTGAGCATGTGGCCTACTACACAGCTACATCCCTAACCTGTTAATCTTTATTTTAGTTTAAAACTGGACTTCGCCATGTGGTGGGGCTGGGCGCCCAGCCTTGGCCTTCTCCTGGCCCAGTCTGTTTTCTGGGGTCCTCTCCACCTGACCACTGGGGCCATCCCTGGTCCTCTCCAGGGTCAGTAGTGCTAGTTTAGTTCATTTCTTAATGGGTGTTTGTTTGTTTTTTGTGCCAGGGATTGAACTCAGGACTTTGTGCTTGCCAAGCAGGCATTTATGCCACTGAGTAAATCCCCGGGCAATTAATGGGTGTTTTTTCCAGCTTTTAAATTATCACTGCAGTTGTGATCTTAATCTTTTCCCTGTGTAAATTGGGAGCCTGGACAAATATCTGAGGGTCATGTATAGTGCACAGATTACATGCTTTTATTTTTTTCTCCAAAATTGTATTTATAAAACAAACTTCAATCAATTTAAAAATGCCTTACTGTGTGTACATTGCCTGCCTACTCTTGAAGCTCTGCACATTTTCTGATAGGGCTGCAGTTGAAAGAGTATTGCCATTGAAGTGAAACGGAGCTTAGATTTCAGAGCAGGTGTCCATAAGCAAAGTTCACTCAGACCCTTACTGAGTTTTTTACTGTTTTGTTTTTCTGTGTGCCTAAGTAATTTATGGCACTGCATATTTACTCATGCTTTAATTTGATTTAGTTTGAAATCAGTCTAGTCTTTAAAAAAAAAAATCTAACAGCATCTGCCTGGCAAGCACAAGGTCATGAGTTTGATTCCTGGGACACCAAACAATTTTTTTTCCCTAAATGTTCAAATTAGCTAAGTGTGTCAATTGTTTGAAATGGAAAACAACCCTAAAAGGGAGCTTCTGTTATTAGTACTATGTTCGTTCTCTCTCTCTCTCTCTCTCTCTCTCTCTCTCTCTCTGTTTCTCTTTTTCTCTTTTTTTTTTTTTTTTTTTTGATTCCCAGGATCCAAACTCAGGACCTCACACTTGCCAGGCAGGTGCTTATGCCACTAGGCTAAGTCCCCAACCCCTAGTACTATCTCTTGATCACATGATCTTATTACAACGTTTTAAACTTTAGAAAATCTGCACAAATGAACTGCTATACTTACTCAAAATTACCAATTTTCATTGTGATTCATTTGCTTTATCGTTTTCTTTTACTTGTACATATTTAAATATGTAAAATTGGAAAAAATGTGTATGAAGCCCTCAATTTTTAAAAAGAAAAAGGAAGGATATTTGAGTGCTGTGTGTCTGGGTTAGTGATATTTGATTTTAGTCAGACAGCTTAACACTAGGGAATGTCAAGATTAGAGTGGATTTTTCTGTTGTGGTCTTTTCTCTTTAGTATATTCTGAGAAAGAGTCTTTCCCCTGTTGTCCACCCCTGAGAGTGGGTGGACCACCCTCATCAGCAAAAATTGTATTGTCGCTTAGCTTCTGCTGGAAACCTCCCCACCAGTGTGGTACATCCTCAGGACATGCTGGCCATTGATGTATGGGTGACCATTGTGAAAAACAGGAGACATGGGGCCTTTCCACGCCACAGCCAAGATGTTCAGGTGGAATATGTGATTTGAAGATCTTGATGTGGCTTCAAGGAGCTGAAAGATTCAAAGTGCTTTAAGAATGTTGGTTAGACCTATATACATATTAACAGGAATCTGTGTAACATGAATTCATAAATTTGCTGGTTCTAAAACTATGTGTATTTTATTTGTTAATAATGACGCCAATTGCTTTACCAAAAAGAATGTTGGTTAGGACTAATACAAACAAATATGCCTTATGCTAAAAAGATCAATGGAAACATTAACATTTCATTACCTCCCCCAAAGTAAACCTAATTTTGATCATTGTCATAAAGGGAAATTACATGAGCCCCTTCCATCCCCAGTTGTCTCCAGTCTTCATTAAAATGATTAGCATATCCATTTGATAAAGGCAAAACCTGTAAAAACGCCTGTCCAATTTAGGAGAGAAGAATATTAGCTATATTCTGACAAATGTAAGATATAGGACTTGTGGGCTGCTTCTCCTTCCCCCACTTTTAAGCCGTTATCAAAACTATGAAATATGGCTTCTTATTAAAGCTGATTATAATAATTAAAAACACTTCCCTTTCTTAAGGATGAGAAAATTACAAATTATTTGGAAAGCATTGTTTCTAGTCATGCCTTATTGTTTCTGAGACATGGGCAGTTTTGAAAGACTACAATACTGTTCTTTTACATTCACATGTTAATAGAAATCTGGAAAGTAAGGCACTCTTCGGAAATGTTCGGGGTTGTTTTTATTATATGTCAAGTTGTAAACAGCATTCCTTGACAGGTATTTTCTCTCTTTGTCTTCTCTGGAGCTAATTAGTAATTTACACTCTAGTAGCATCTTTCCCAGCCTCACTGTGTGAAAATGCCTGCCACTCCGAGCCTTCCATGCAGCCAGGCTGGCGAACGATTGGGGCAGATGTTGGTGAGAACATCAGAAGGATCAGGGCTGAAATCCATTTTTTCATGTCATATTTTTAAAGGCTTTTGTATGTATCTTTCCTGCTCTGCACAACCCCTTCATATAATAGGAACGTTAGGATCTTCTGTAGCTTAGAACTACTGCCCTTGATTCAGTGTGGGATTTTCTCTTCTGGTACCAAATCCCCCTTCCTGCAATGTGGGATTTGGGGAGGATTAGCCCGCAGTCTGGCAGGGCAGAGCCCAGAGAGCCTCCGTCCACCCATCTTCTGAATCCGGAGCTTCAGGGCATGGCCCCTAGAACCCACCCAGTGGTGCTGCTGGGCAGGTGGGTGGGGGCGGGAGGGGGCAGCACTGTGAGACAAGGAAGATGCTTTGACATGATGCTCTCTTCTCTCCAAAGGAAGGACAGCCTTAGCTTTGTAGTAGCCTTTTCAAAAGGCAGCCAAGAGGGACCAAAAGAGACTTCATGGCTTGGTTTGAGCATTTTGTCACATGACTGTTTTGCTCTTTCCGGCCCCTTGCTGTCTTTCTTTAGTCTCTGACATGGGAAAGACCTGCAGGACCTGTCCTGTGTTCATTTGGATAGGCCATGTGGATGTGTTACAGCAGCAAGTGTGTGACTCTGAAATCATTTTGGATCAGTTTGTTTTATGAATACAAATTTTAGTTGAAAATTAAAGAAAGGACATGTAGAGATAAATGATTTGAACCAAAACCTTTCCAAAATGCCAGATAATTTGTGGTACTTATTTCGCAGTTATGGACACTAATTTATTAAGATAATAAGGTCAAGGTCCCTGTCAGAAATAATTAGACTCTCTTTGGCAAAAATTGTTACCTGGGGGGGGGGCGGCACAAAGAAAATCATATATGAAAAATTTATGAATAGCTCAGCTTAGGCATCACTGACAGTGACATTACAGTCATAGACCTTGAGATATTGACAGCCGATTAGCACTCAAGACCACAGGTCATCTCACGTATGTATTTCTTTCTCTTTTCTTCAACAGGGTTTCACTGTACAGTTCAGGCTGGCCTTGAATTCACTTTGTAGCCGAGACCGGTCTTGAACTCACAGTGATCCTCTTGCCTTGGCCTCCTGAGTGTTGCCACCCTGCTCAGGCTCCTGCATCTCATTTACATATGCCCTTGTCCAACTGTTTCAGTTTTATAAACCAGAGTCCCTGGAACATCCCTCTGGATGGCCACTGCCAATCTTTCTTGTTACTCTTCTTTTTCTCTGTTCTAATAGAAGCAGCCTTTTTTTTTTTTTGTACCAGGGATCAAATTCACAACTTCATGCTTACTAGGCATGTGCTTTAGCCACTGAGCTAAGTCCCCAGCCCCTGTATCTTTTTTTTTTCAACCCTTGAGCCCAGGGTTGAAAAAAACACTGAGCTACATCCCCATCACTTTTAATTCTAAGACAGGAATAATCCCAAACTGGTTGGGAAATTGTGACCCTACTACCGCAGCCTGCCGAGTCTCTGAGATTGCAGCTGTGCTGCAGCTCCTGTTTCTTTATTGGTTTTTGAGGCAGTGTCTTACTGTGTAGTCCACACTGGCTTTGAATCCACCATTGCGGCCCCGGTTGGCTTCAGACTTGTAATGCTTCAGCCTCAACCTCCCTGTGTTGAGATTACATTCACGGCTATCCCTGGCTACAGCCACTTCCATCTTCATTTTGACCTTATGAATCCTAAAGGAGTCAAAGATCAGATTACTAATGCTGCATATAAAAAGGTAAAATATTGCCAAAGTGAACTGATCAAAGAGATGATACAAAGATGAGAAAGTACATATGATTATGGAATTGAATATATTCTCGATGTTTCTAAAATGTGTAGTATGGCGGGAAGAGCCTGTAACAATGTACTGTAAGCAAAAGGTGAGTATGCTGTAGAGAGCGAAGAGGTCACTGTCCTTTATGCATGTCATTGTCCTTGCAATGTGGTTGAACTGGCCAATCAGATAAACATGACCAGTGTCCCTACTTACACAGCTAGTGTGATTCTTAAATGTTTTTCTCCAGAAGTAGTTCAGTTTAGTCTAGAACTAATAGTAAACTCAAAATGTACCTAAACTCTAGATTCTGTAATCTTCATTGTTTGAATAAATATACAGTGAAACATGTAATTACCACTTTTTTACTTACCAGACTGACAGAGATGTAAAAAGCTGATGATAAGCAGTCATGGATGGAGATTCGGGAAAGTTGGAGTCTCATAGACCATTGGCAGGCATGTCAGGTTTTTTTGAGGTAATTTGAGGGTTTCTGTTGGAGTGTAAAATGTTTGTATCCACTTCTAGCAATTTGTCCAATAGATAGTCATATTCTTGCATGAAAAATCTGAGAAGAGTTTTTCTTCCCAGCATTGTTTGTTATGGGGAAAATGACACCTGTCAGAGGCTGATTAGCTAATGTGTGGTGATGAGTCCACACCATAGAATAATGCTTAGCTGTCAAAACGCACAGCTCGTGCCAGGTGTGATGACACATACCTGTATCCCAGCACTTGGAAGCAGGAGGATTGCTAGGAGTTTGAGGCTAGCCTGGGCTACATAGTTCAAGGCCAAGCTGAACTACATAGCAAGACCCTGTCTCCGAAAAGCAAACAACCAAACAAACAAGCAAGCAAGCATAGGTCTCTGTTTGCTCCTGTGGAAATATGTTAGGTGTTCATTGTTACGTTATAAAGTCTCATTATAGGTCACTATAGACTATACTTTTGTAAAACGCAAGGACTGGAGTTTTTTTTGGGGTGGGGGAGATATTTAATTTTTAATCTGTACACTTTGGGTGCTGAGAACCTATTTCTGAGAATTATCCTGTAGTGGGGAAGGAAAAGAGGTCGGCAAAGATAAGAACTGTTCCGTTGCTATGAGCCGCGCTCCTCAAGGTTTCGAGTGAGAAGTGAGGACTGGACTGGCAGGAAGAGCATAGCGTGGAGGTTGAGACTGAGGCAGTGATGCAGAGCCTGCATTTGTTTTGTGAGCTGGGACAGCAGAAGTGTCTCCTCACGGCTAAACCAGGTAGTGCGCTTACAGCGTACGGAGCATTGCGGCACATGGCGAACGCCCAGAGTTAGCCTTCATCACTGAGTGAGGTGCACACTGTCTTCTATTAGCCTCTCTGGACTACTGCGATTGCTCTTGCTAACACAGTGATGATTTCACAGAACCCACAGACATCACACTGTTTCTTCATCCTTCCACCTACAGGCACTTAGTGTCAAACGCTGAAATACTAAAGTATTGCAATTTTAAAGCAAAATTAGGCATATAAGGTCCTACATGTCCCGTTAGTTTCCTTTGCCAGTATTATTATGTATGCCAGTTAGCATCTGAGTTTTATGTCATTTCATTATGAGACATTTAAAAAAGAAAGGAAACCTTTCTTAAATGTCATTTTCTGTGCTCAGGGGATGTGAGGTAGATGCGTTGCTTTGCACGGAACATGTGTTTTGTTAGCAGTGTGGTGTAATGAGCACATTAGTACAACACCTAGATTGGCAGCCAGCATTTTGTTTGTGAAATCTTTTAGAAAACTGAAATCTGGTGAGAAGGTTCCTAAGCAGTTAAAATATCTTGTTGCAGTGGGTATTTAATAGAACAAATGAAGCCAAAAAAATTCTCTTTCATAAAGTAATTGTTTCACCACTGAAAGCTCTGAGAAGAGGTGTGTGAGCCAAGGACTGAGACATGCCCGTGTTATTTATGTAGAGCTGTTAGTGCTTTTTTAATACTGGGGCTTGTCCTTCAAAGAATCTGAAGGTGTAAGGCCAAGTGTGGTGGCACACGCCTATAATCCCAACACTCAGGAGCCTGAGGCAGGAGGATCACTGTGAGGTTGGAGCCAGCCTGGGCTACAAAATGAGTTCAAGGCCACCCTGCACTGCATGGTGAAACCTGTCTCAAAAAACAAAACAAAACAAGAAGAGTATTTTCTGAGGTTGTAAAAACACACCTGCGTAAATAAGGAAAATTTCTGTTTAAACCCAGTTCTTGGCACCTTGTAAGTATTTAATACATTGTAAATTATGTAAATTAATGTATGCATGAATAAAAAGCATTAGTCCACCTTTCTCCCTGTGACCTGGGCAGTCTAACACTGGTGCACAAAGGCCTTCAGTCAGCCCTCACACCCACAGCCAGCTCTCTACTGTGTCTGATGTGTCTTGATTCTATGTGTATTTTTATAAAATGTTTGATGATTTTTTTTGTATAGGTATCTTTAATTAGATAATAGCTTATCATATCACACTGCTGTAGCATTTGACTGTACGCATCTCCTGTCAGAATACTATGGATCTCAATCTGGTTTTGCTTTTTTCACTCAGCACTGTATTTTAAAATTAAGGCTGGATGTAGATCCAGCTAATGGCTCCTATGTGCAGCATAGGATCCCATCGTGTGTATCATTCCCATAGCGCTGGGCACCTAGGCTACTACAAACAATGCCACCATCTTGGACATGTTTGAGAGTTTCTAGAATCCAGATCCAGGAGTGCCGAAGTAGAACGAGTGCTGTTCAGTGCTGGACAGCTGTGCCACCATCTCCCCATCAGCACTGTGTTCCTGGAACCTCCCCCAGCGCTCTTGTCCACATTTCTAATTGTTGCCATTTGATGATGTCTCATTTTAATTTACATTTCTAATTACTAGTAAGTTTTAGCATTTCTTCATATTCTGGTTAGCTGTTTTCCTTCTGTGAATTACCTTTTCATATCCTTTGTTTCCTGTATTTTTCTTGATTTATAGAAATCAAAAATCAGTACACACACACACACACACACACACACACACGTTTGTTCCTGTTTGGTTTTGAACCGTACTAATATCATCTCCTGGGAAATCACCTATTATTTTTTTTGTGTGTTTCCCTACTCCCTCCAGGACTGGGGATTGAACTCAGAGCCTCATGCATGCTGAGCAAGTGCTGTATCACTGAGCTACATTTCGTTTTGATAAATAAAATTTTACTTTGGTTTGAGACAAGGTGTCACTGAGTTGCTCAGGCTGGCCTGGAACATGTGATTCTCCTCCCACAGCCTCCTAAGTAGTTAGAATTACAAATGTATGCTACTGAACCTGGCTATCTGTAGTGGTCTTTACTGAACACAAATGCTTGATTTTTACATAGATCTAATGGTTTTGTTTTTGTTTGTTTGTTTGTTTTGAGACAGGGTCTCAGTATGTAGTTCAGGCTGGTCTCGAACTACTTGTATATCTGGGCTTGTATAGTGAACTCAGTGAGCCTCCTGCCTCAGCTTACCAACTGCTGGGATCACAGATGTGTGCCCCCATGCTCAGCTCAGATCTATAATTTTTTAAAAAATCACTAACACATTATATTTGCCTTATTAGCACTTCTTAGACATGAGTCTCCCAGATCATCTCCTCAGGGCTTCTTCTTTTGGCTTTATTTTACCCAATATTATTATTATTATTATTTTGGTCTTTTTCCTTTTTATTGGTACCGGGAATCAAACTCACGACTGCCTGCTTACAAGGCAGGCGCTTATGCCGCTGAGGTAAATCCCCAGCCCTCCACTGTATTTCATGCTGGCCTCATTATGAATCCCAGTCTGGCTTCAAATTCATAGCAATCCATCAGCCTACTGAGTGCTGGGATTACAGGTATGCACCACCAAACCTGGCAAGAAGTCTAATTCTGTTGATGTTATGCTGTTATTTTATTTTATTTTATCAGTACTGTGTTTTTAACCGAGCAGTATCCCCATCCCATTTTTATTTTTTTAAATACTGGGAATCAAATTCATAACCTTGCACTTGGCCAGGCAGGTGTTGTGCCACTGAGTTACATCCCTGCCCCTTTCACCCCCAACCCATTTTTATACTGGGACAGGGTCTTGCTAAGTCCCTGAAGTCCTCTGGGTAGGTTGGAATTTTCAATACTCCTGCCTCAGCCTTCAGAGTGCTGGGATTATAAGCATGTACCACCAGCTTTGGATTCTCAGTTCTTTTTTCCTCCTTTGAGATATGCTGAAATTTTACAATAATCTGCCTCACTTTTGGCCTTGTTGTATTTTTTGTGCCAACCTCTATGGAGGCCTTTTCAATTTGGAAATACATTTTTAAGTTCTGAGAGTTTTTTAATTTTTAAATATTTTAACCAACTTTTAAAATTCTTCCCAACCTTTACGTCTACCCTCATGCCCTCAGTTTTCTCTAAGACTCTTACTACTTTTGTTAAAAGTTTCAGACAGGTGGCCCTTTAATTTTTTTCATTTTTGTTATTTTTCTTCTTTTTGTCTTTCTGATCTTGAAAAGTGTCTTAGTCTTCATCTCCAGAATATCCTAATTAGTTTTATATTTCTGCTGACATAGTTTTAATTTTAAGAACTGTTTTGACAGAAAAGTGGTTTGGTGTGAGAAGGACCCAGCCTGCCCTTGCTGGAGACGCAGGAAGGGGCCATGAGCCAAGGCCAGAGCAGCGCTCTCAGGGGAGGGGAAAGCAAGGGCTGCTCTGGCCTGGCTTCTCCGGAGCCGCCTTAGTTTTAGTCTGGTGCAGCCTGCCTCGGTCTTTGGCCTCCAGAATTGCGAGATAATAAATCATGTTGTTCAAACAAAACAACAGCAACAAAAAGAACTTTTTCCTTTGAATATTGCTTTTTAATAGTTTTCTATTTTTTTGTTTCATAGATGGAATAGTTCTTCTTAGTTATACTTTTTTTTTAAACAAAATAATTTATTCAGCTTCCTTTACCATCTTGGTTTCCTTAAAACACTTTTATTCTGTATGTGTGTATTTCATTTAGGAATTTCCTTATCTACATAGTTTTGAATGTCTTATGTTCAGGAGTAAGCCACTAAAAACTTATCTTCTCTAGTATTCTTCACCTTACCAGTATATCTCCATCTTCTCATTACACTAATTGGAAATAAAAGCCACCTCTGCCCCATCCTTTTTTTTTTTTTTGAGATGAGGGCTTGCTATGTAGTTTAGGGTGGCCTGAAACTCACTATGTAGCCTAAGCTGGCAACCCTCCTGCCTCAGGCTCAGTACTGGGTTTATAGGCATATGCTACCATACCACCATAAACCCATATTTTATTTTATTTATGTTATTTTATTGAAAATAAAACTAAGCAAAATAAAACAAAATAATGCCAATCAAAACAAACCAGTGTGACACAGAATTTCAAAACAAACCCATATTTATATGTATTATTTATTTATTTGGTGCTAGGCATCTGACCCAGAGCTTCATGCATGCCACTCAAGTGCTCTGTCACTGAGCGGTGCTCCCAGCTTCTCTCTAACCATACCTCTTAAACATTGCCCCTAAAATGTAGTTGTATGCTCTGTCTTTTCTCCCTGCATTGCTGGATATTGAACCCTTGGCCTCATGCATGCTTGGCAGATGCTGTGCTGCTAGGCTACATTCTCAGCCCAAAATTTTATTTTTTTGTACTGGAAATCGAACTCAGGATCTGCACTTGCCAGGCACGCGATTGGTAGCTGAGCTAAATCCCCAGCCAGCAGTGTAGCTGTTAGGCATGATATTGTTTTTCCTAGCATAGGTGACTTGGAGAGCTCCACAGACTCTTAAGTACTAGAGATCAAACAGTGGGTCTTCACACTGAGCTGCATCCCTAGTAACATCCCAGACTGGGCTCAAACTTGTGATCTTCCTGCTTCAGCCTCCTAAAGTGCTGACATTACATGCATGTGCCACCATGCCTGGCTTCTACAGATTATAGGTCTTGTCTAAATACTCCTGACTTCCCTGGCTCAGGTAGGTACTTCAGCATTTTATCTAAATGCTATAATAACTTTAGAGTTATCCATTTCAATTTTACCAGTACTAGGATGGTTTTTAATGGAGATTTTCAGGGGAAAACAATTTATACTTATACTATAGTGAATAGTGATATTTAGGTTAGGTTAGAGTTAACTTATTTAATTGTAAAGGAAGTGTGGTACTCCTGCCTCAGGCAGGAATATTAGAAACATATTAAAAATGCAGTGCTTAAAGTTTTTATTTGAAATATTTTCAATTGGGTGGGGTGGTACACACCTGAAATACCAGTACTCAGGAGGCTGAGGCAGGAGGATCACTGCAAGTGAGGTCAGCCTGGGTTACACAGTGAGTTCAAGGCCAGCCTGAACTACATAGTGAAGCCCTGTCTCAAAAAGACCAAAAAATTTTTTTCCTGTTTGGGGTTTATTTTTTGTTTGTTTTTGTTCTTTTTTATGGCAGGGGGTACTGGGGATTGAACTCACAACCACGAACTTGCCAGGCAGGTGCTTATGCCACTGAGCTAAATCCCCGGCCCAAAATTTCCTATTTGTGAGACACAAGTAATTTTCTAAGTTATTTAGAAATGATTCTAGGAATGGGGATTTAGCTCAATGGCATAAGCGCTTGTCTGGCAAGTGCGAGGTCGTGAGTTCGATCCCCAGCACCAAAAAAAAAAAGGATTCCAAAGGATAATCCTTTTTTTTTTTGGTACCAGGGATCAAACTTATGACCTCACACTTACCAGGCATGCACTTGAACCACTGAACTAAATCCCCAGCCCCAAGAAATAATCTTTATAAAACAACTACTGATTCTTTTCAGAGTTTTCTGTGAAAACAATTAGCTGCCCTGACAAGTCTTTATGTTTAAATTCTAAAGTTAGAGGAGAGTGCGGTGGTGCATGCCTATAATGCCAGCACTCTGGGAGGGTGAGGCAGGAACACTGCAAGTTCAAACCTAGCCTTGGCAATTTAGGAACCCCTGTCTCAAAGATAAGAGACAGGGTGGAGGGAGTTCAGTGAGAAAGCCTTGGGTTCAATATCCAATATGGGGGAAATTGGGTTAGAAATCTTTTTTGTGAAGGAAGTACAGAGTCAGGACAGTGGCTTAGCTCCTTGACTCAACTGCTTGTCTGGTAAATGCGAGGTCGTGCGTTTGATTCCCAGTACTGAAAAAAAGGCCCATCGCCAGCTAAGTTTACCATGGGCAGACAATGACTGAACCTCGCCGTCAGTCACTGATGTGGGATTACTGGGTCTAGACCAGCACAGAGCAGTCTCAGGTGTGCAGGCTGCCATGTGCGTGGTGGGGTGATCCTGGGCCAGTCCTCTGCCACCCAGTAGGACTCTTCATCCTTCATCTGTAAAGCACCGCCGACATCCTTCTCCCGTGAGAATGAATTGAGCAAGCGCATGTGTGCTCGTGTAGTAGGAGGAGAATAAATGTTTACAAACGTCCTCTCCATTAAAGTTGCTACCCTGTACAGACGAAACTGTTGGGTAGCATTTGTAGGAAGTTCTCGGCAGTGATGGTGTTCCTGTTTCACAATGGTTTGAATGTATGATGTATGCGGGCAGTTGAATCTTAGCAACTAATATCTGTTAGATACAGAATGCGTTACAGTCAAGATTGGAGTTGACCTGTGCATTGAAAGAGCAGCTCTGCTAGACGCTCTTTGATTTTGTGCCTGACACTGCTGCTGTTCAAACTAAAGCGGATTTGGTGTTGCTTTTGTTTGCTCTTAGCTGGCCGAGTGGGCACCGAGCAGGCGCGTGAGGCCATGGCTCCCAGGTCACTTTGTTTGTGGTGAGAAGGGATTCGCAGTCTGGCTGAGAGCTAATGCCCTGCATCCTTATTAAGCTGTCAGTTCAGACTAGATGTTATTTAACTGAAATAGAGAACCGGAAGCCAGAGGCAGTTTAGTATTCTTTAAATTCTGCCTGGCTCGTCTGGCTGTTTTATCCTCACTTCCCTCAGCTCCCCTGGCAGGTTTGTGTATTGGTCTCTCTTCTTGGCAGAACAGTGATCTAAAATCTTTCCTTTCTTTGGTAGCAGAAGACAACTAACTAGCACATGTACAGCTGTTGACAGTTTATAACACACGTGCACACGTTTTCCTCTAACCTTTGCAGCACCCTTGAAAGGGGTAGAACTGATGTTCTGTCTGTCTACAAGCTCAGAAGTAGGGGTCTGAAGGTGTTACTGAGTTCCCCAAGTTGCACTGCGAATAAGCTGGGTCTTAGACTCAAGCCTTCAAGTTGGATTCTAAAGTTCAGGCCTTTTTACTCTCCCATGTTCTTGGGTTCCATCTTCTAGTGTTGTATTGAACCTGAAGTTGGCAGGGCAGGTAGGTTCCTAAAGCCTTTTTGATCCTAATCTGCTCTGTAACATTTGGGCAAAACTTCTAATGTGGAGCGTGACCATATTTCAGTCTGAGACTCCGGCTCTCTTACCATATCACTGTATTGATTCCAGATGGTTTTTGCTTAGAGAGGCCAAACCAATATGAAATGTTTTGTTCTGATACAACAGTGTGCTTATACAGAGGTGATAAAGTTCAAATTTGCAATGGTACGAGAATGTGTGACATTTTATTTTATTTTGGTACCAGGGATCAAACTTACAACCTTGCACTTACCAGGCAAGCTCTTGAGCCACTGAGCTAAATCCCTGGCCCAAATATGTGACATTTTAAATTGACGATAAATACTTTATAAATATGAGAAAGCATTTTGCATGAGGAATGAAATTTAAGACACATATAAAAAAATGGAGTCCTCTACCAGTAACTCATTTGCCCAGCAATACATTAATATGTCCTTTGTTTTGGTGGTGTGCTGTGTCAACAGGATGCAATTGTGAATAAGAAGCCCTGCCCTGGGAAGGCTAGGCTGGTGTGTAGTATAGCACAGCTTCCCAAACCCATGGGCCACATTTCTGTTTCATGTAAGGAAGCAATTTAACAAAGAGTATAAAAGAAATCAACATATTAGAGAAATGAGCTGCAGTGTTCCCACCTAGGTTATTCCACACTCCATCAGAGCGTGTGAGTACATCCTAGCATCCTTTGTATTTTACAGAAATCTATCAGTCTCTGTTTTGCAGTTTCTATGCAGAAGACCTGAACTTAAACCTATGGGACAAACTAATAACTCTGAATCTTAGAACAGTGAAACCAGAAGGTTGTGACTCTCTCTTCATGCTGTCCTGGTGCACACTGAAATGTAAAGCATTACGTATTTCTTTTCGCATTATTTACTCTGCGTGTGATAAGAACAAAGTCTTAGAATTTAAAAATTTGAGTTGCCCTAGAGATGATGCAGCTCATCGGGGCAGTGTGTGTGGACTGAACTCCAGGCTGCCTAATACTAGTTCTTTTCCCCGCAAGCTACAGTGGGGCTTTAACTAGGCAGCCCAGAGACATTGGTTTCTGACTGTGGTCTCCTTAAATTTTCATATGAAGTTTCCTTGTCTAATATGGGTAAATGTAAATTTTTTCTTTGTTTAGTTATGTGAACTTTCTTCCTCTACTTAACTGTCTGAATTTCCTTTACCTTTGTATTGTCCAAGATTTTTGACCAGTTTTAATTTGGATAAGATATGCCCAAATCATTTATGATATAAATTAATTCATAATGTTAATTTAAAATATGTCATTCTTGTAAACTTTCTAACCAAATGCAGAAAAAGCATCTAATCCTAACTTGAATTTTGAGCCTTTGCCTCTTTGGTAGTGACTCCAAAACATACAGCATTAGATACAGCTCCCTAGATTGTCACCCTGCCTCACTCACTCTTGGGGCTGGCCTGAGATGCCCAACAGATGTGTGTACAGTACTATAGTAATACATTCATGCTTACATGCCAGTCTTCTTTGACCGTTTGTCATAAGGCTTTCTACTATTTGCACTTACAGATTGGGATAGGTAGACTGTGTGGCTGGACCGAGGACGTGCTTCAGTCCTACAAGGCCCCGCTGATAAAATCAGAAAGTGATTGAGTGGTGGGAAGTAAGCCTGGTGTCTTAGAGCCTTAGAATGTGAATGGAAATAGCAGGTGGACTTCAGATGTTTTTGTGTTTCTCCAGCCTCTGCAGTCCTTCATCAGGATTGATTCAGGCATTTTTTAGACATCACAGATGCTCAATAAGACAAGGAGCTGTTGCTGACCACTAGGAGCTGAAAGGAGAAGGCAGCCACACATTGAACATGGCATAATATTTGTATTTTGAAATGTGCCACGTAACTGAGTTTGTTGAAAAAGGTACATGTTGGTCAAATTTATTTTCTGATTTAAATTTATTAATATTCCCAGTTAACGTTTTTTTTTGTCTTCTGAGGCAAGGTTTCACTATGCAGTTCCGACTGGCCTTGAGCTCACTTTGTAGCCCAGGGTGGCCTCAAACTTGCAATGACCCTCCTTCCTCAGCCTTTCAAGTGCTAGGATTACAGCCATGCACCACCACATCTGGCTCAGTTAACTTTTTGAACTTTTAAAAATATAGTAATAGGGCCATAGATTTAGCTCAGTGGTGTAAGCACCTGCCTGGCAAATGTGAGGTTGTGAGTTCAGTCCTCGGTACCAAAAAAAAAAAAAAACAAAAAACAAAAAACAAAACAAAAACCCACTCAAAAATATATTATTTTTTAAACTTTTTTAAAAATTAGTACTTGTTTGCAGTACATGCAATTTACAGTTTTCTTGAGGAGTATTACATTTAACTTTCCTATTAATTACAAGTTGAGATCCCTCCTCAGAAATATAAAATATATTAAAGTCTTTTGAGATATATATTTTGAAATATTTAAGCCACATTTTAAGATACAGATTATATGTATTTTAAAGATAACACCTCTTCTACTTGGTTAGCCATCTGAACATGCCCTGTCTGCCTCCATTAACACAGTGAGTGATCAAAGGAGGTGGATTACTGCTGACACCAGGCCTTGGGGCTTGCCTTTCTTCAGAGCAGAAACCCAGACTTGAATTGTAGCTCTGCCACGTATGGGTTCTATGGGACTTATTTGTGCCTCAGTCTCCGTGTCGGCACAATGGAAAATAACAATACCTACGTTATAGTTGTAAGGATTAAATGAGCTAAAATCTATAAAGCACTGAGATGAATGCCTGCCATACATTAAAGGCTGTGAGTTGTTGATGGCCATCTTAATAATTGTTGTGATTGCTATTATTTGTGAGATAAAATTTAGTCAGATTAGATTTCTTTTTTTTTCTTCTTTTTCATTTTTATCGGTACCAGGGATCGAACTCACGACTGCCTGCTTACAAGGCAGGCGCTTATACCACTGAGCTAAATCCCCAGCCACGTCAGATTAGATTTCAAAAATTGATTTTTACCAGGCATGATGGTGCACACCTGTAATTCCAGTACTTGGGAGGTTGAGGCAGGAGGATCAAGAGTTCAAGGCCAGCCTGGGCTACATAGCACGACCCTATCTCAAAAATAAGTAACGTATAACGTAACTTAGTTTTAAGTACAATTAAATTAACTTTCAACTTACTTTGGTGCTCTTACATTGAAAGTGAGATTGTTTGGATAGGAAAGTTTTCCATTTGTACAGCGCCAGTTCAGTTTTCCTAGAGTTTGCCCGAGACCTCTCAACCTAGAATGTGGAAGAGCTGAGCTCTCTTTGTGTGTCTCCTGCACTTCATGATCACAGGGCGTCTTCTGCCTTCCGGACCACTCTTTCTTGCCTGTGCCACTGGTTTTTACCACAGTGTACCAGACTTGTCTCTGATTTCGGGAGGCCCTAACCGCAGCGTTTGCAGATTTTGTAGACTAAACTGAAGGTGGGGAAATAGAGATGGGTGAGCCTTGCTCTGCAGGAAGGCAGACCACTTTCCTAGTAAGGCCTCCCATTCTTAAAATGTTTTCAGAGCTCCCTTGACCTGAGTGCTTCACCCCTACCTAATCCCAGCTTTGCTCCATTATTCTGACGCTTCTTTTCTTCTCTCCCTTTCATTCTCCTCATTATTCTTCTCCCCATTCGCTTCAGAGATAAAACAACACATTCTGCCCCTTGTCTAATGCAGAGCAATTTCCCTTTCTTGACAACCATTCTGGGATCTTGACAGCCATTCTGTAGAGGGCCACCCACTCCAGGGGACTGGACAGGAGAGGCAGGGGGCCATACTGAGGGAAGACATTTTCACAAAAGAAGTTTCTTCCAAGAGGAATTCTTGTGTTAGCCGTTAGGGTGACAAAATAGAGAATATTCCATCCTGTCACATGGTAGCCAAGAATACCAATCTCAAGATTAATTGAGTTAAGACTCAAATGAAGTATTAGAAATGTGAAAAATTACTATATAAATATTTTGTCCAAATCATAAACTTCAATTTTTGGTTAGGATAATGTCCTTGGGAATATATTCTGCTTTTAAAGAAGCATGCTGCTTCCATAAAGGTCACAAATCGAATTAACACGAGTCTCTTCATGTCATCTTGCATTATTATATTTTACTTTTTTTTCCCTCTGAGGACAGCCCCCCCCCCCAAGGGACAACTTTTTTATTTCACTCTTTATTTCTTTCCTTCTTCTTCTTTTTTTTTTTTTTTAAATTTTTTTGGTAGTAGGGTTGGAACCCAGGGCTTCGGGCACACTAGGCAAGTGCTGTGTGCTGTGTCATCAGCCCTTCTCTGTGATTTGAGCCACAGTCTTACTGAGTCGCGCAGGCTGCCCTCTCACTCTCGATCCTCTGCCTCGGCCTCCCATGCATCTGGGAATACAGGTGTGTGCCAGCATACTTTTTTTCCCTTTCATCTTGTATGCAGACAAATTGTAATTCTTAAAATCTAAAACAGTGTGAAAGTGCATTTTTCCCCAGGAAGTAGAACTTTAATATTTCTATTTATGGATCAATGTACCCATAAAGTCACTGAATCTTTATCTTTGCTAAAAGAAGGATCAGATTTTTTTTCAATTTTATGTCAGTTTTGAGGATTTGTAGGGAGTTCACTATGTTGTAAACTGATCATCTTCTGAATTTATAGGTGAGATTCATGAAAATTTATTTTTTTCTCGTTATGCATTAGCCTAGACTTACAGATTGTTCCCCCTCATAGGTAATAAAGAAGAGGAAACCTAACCAATTATTGTGGAGTAATATGGAAGAAGATGGGAAGAGCTTGTTTAATGGGTAAGAAATAAAAGAAACCTTCTTTGTAAAAACTATTCATAAGAGTATTATGTATGGCCAGTTGTAATATTAAAAGCCTGCTAAGATAAGGAATTAATCACAACCTTTGTCTTCTTCCTGTTCGTACTTTGAGTACTGCTTCCATCTTAACCTTGTAAAATTTTTAGTATGATGAATTAATTTAAGCTAAGGGGGCAGAGTCATATGTGAAGATAAAATGGGGCATAGAGGTCAGCAAACGTATTAAATCAAGTAGGTCTCGGAGTTTGCTGGTGGGTGGATGGAGCTTGTGTCTGTCCTGACAGTCAGGAGTCTTTATCCACCCTTCTTTCTCTCCAGATGCTGCCAGCTGCTGCAAGTGTAGTCTCGCCATGGGGGAGCTTGTGCACTTGAGCAAGTTGAGATGTGTGTCAGGTGGTAAGCAAATAGAATTCCACACAGGCCCCCATAAAGAGTGTGACTAAGTTTATGAGATACAAAAACATTTACTCAAGTCTATACATTCTTATTGTTAAGATTTAACTATCACAGATAAGCAAGTTCCTCTTCCTGAATCTTAGTTCCCTTACATGATCAATAAGTATAATGTGTATTTATGCAGCCTGTCTCTCTGTCTAGTGGTTAGAAACGTGGCTTTGGAGCCAGACTGGTTTTACTGTGCCTGCAAAAATATCTGTTTTGAAGCAGGAAGCACAGTTCTTTTGTGCCCAGAGAGCCATGGCAAGCTTTCTGTTGAGTGTCTGTCAGTCTGTTTGGAAGGACAAGTCTGGAGTTTCTCTTCTTCTTGTTAGCAGCACACTATCATAGCAGCACTGAAAATGCCGTCAATGCCTTGCTCATGGCTTATCCAGCACTTTCTTAGGGGACACAGACACTTGCCTGTGTTGAGAGAGAAGGACATTGTAGTAAACATCTCTTTCTTAGCACTTCCCTTTTGTGTGTCCCTGGGGCTTGTCTGATTATTATAAACTCTGGGATCCACTGTGATTAGGGTGACGCTGTTTTAATAGACCTTACACAAAAACTGAAGTCAGCAGGTGCTGAGTATTGCATGTTGTCATGCAGAGTTGGAAGTACTTTTCAAACTCATTATCTCAGTGAACACCATTCCTACTTAAGGAATAGATAATTGTTATTATTTATATTTTATCTATTTATGTTTATTTTATGTTATTTTGAGACAGGGTCTCACTATGTAGCTGGCCTTGAACTCACTATGTAGCCCAGGCTGACCTCAAACTCATGTGATCCTCCTGCCTCAGCTGCCTGGTGCTGGCATTAAAGGTGTGTGCCACCATGCTTGGTTTATTTCATTTTAAAGATAGAAAAGCAAGGTACAGATTAAGTAACATGTCTGAAGCTATATTCCAAAAATCACCTGCAGAATTCTAGTGTAGGCCTGTGTTATTGACCAGGGACATCCTAGCCTCGTTAATAAATTCTTTAAGGTCCGCTAAGGGGTATGAATTTAAATAAGACACAAAACCCAGCTATCTCCTGGGAAATTTACTGTCACCATTCTGTTTTTGTCTATCTGTGGGATGAATGTTTAAAACCATATGTCTTCTCAGTGTGAGAAAAATGAGGAGGTGAGAATTTAGAATTAGAATGAGAATTGTTTGTAATGGTACACGCAGCTGCCTACCTGGGGAGCAGCACCTGTTTAGACAGGATGGGAACGGCTGGTTTGTAGATTACCTTCTTGCTGGTATTCACAGAAACATGCGGCAGCTTGGCACTGATTGGTAATGAGAAATTGCTCTTTTGTCCAGTTAAATAGTATTTGAATGACAGTCAGCAGAAAGTTGTGCAAGAGAAGAAAAGCCAGGAGAAAGGTGACTTATGGGTCTTATAATTAGAATGTCACTTATAAGTGATTGTCTAAAAAGTAAATGTACACTGATGGTTGACATTTATACGTGAACTAGAAGGAGTCCGAATACATATTTTTTGTTCTGGTGACCATGTCAAGGAGAAGCACTGACTATTCTTTTCTTCAAATAGCACTTCGCTTCCTGTTGAAATTAATGTTGAAGTACAAAGAGCAGGTGATATTTAAAGGAGCAGATGTTTTAGCCTCCCATGAATGTAGCTGCATGGCATTGGTGGTGTTTTCCTATTTCCACCATTTTTTACTCCTTTCCCTCGTTTGAGAATCCCTTTCAAATGCTGATCAAAGTTATGAGTCTTAGAATACGTATCTTTTCAAAACAATGTCTTCAAGGGCAGTCCAGGCAGTGCAAAGGCTTTGAGAGGCTGATGAGGTCAAAACTATTTTCATAACAATACCACAACTTGATTGGCTGCCGCTTATTCACTCTGGAGTGGCCAAAAGCTGTTTAGTGGGAAACTGACTGGATGCCAAAGCAGATAGGGAATCCAGCTGTCTTTCTTAATTAATATTGGACATTAAAACGGTTGCACTAGTCATGAAGGCACAAACTTGAAATCCCAGGTCTTGGGAGGCTGAGGCAGGAGGATCACTGTGAGTCTGAGAGCAGCTTGGGCTTCAATGTGGACTCCGAGGCCAGCCTGAGCTGCGTGCATACTGAGAACCTGCCTCCAAAAAAAAGTAAAAGTGAAAACGTAAAATAAGGCCACTCGTCTTCCCGAATTTGACTTGACCATCGCTGTGGTTTGTTTCTGTATCAGGACATTACAATGGTTTGTTCCCTGCATTTTTATTTTATTTGTTTGTTTGCTTGGCACCACGGCCTCACACTTGCCAGGCAGGCACTTAGGCCAGTGAGCTATATTTATTTTACAGTGCTAACTGAAGTGTTATGTGCCAGCCCAGCTCAAGGGGATGCACACAAGGCAGAGAGCAGAAAGAAAGCAAACAATGTCTGCCTTCCTGCAGCTCAGGCCCTTGCTTCCCTGCCATCCCGTACCTGTTGTAGAGCACCTTCTACAGGGGACCCTCAGAGTTGATGGCTGTGGTTGGTCCTGGGCACTGATTTGTGTTTCCCAGTAGCTGTGAGCTCTTGGCACCATACTTTGACATTTTGTGATTTCTGATTTTTTTTAATAAGACACCAGAGTTGGGCATGGTGGCACACACCTTTAATTCCAGCACTTGGGGAGGCTGAGGCAGGAGGATCACTGTGAGTTTGAGGCCAACCAGGTCACTATCTCAAGGAAATGAAACAAACAAAAATACTAAAAAGGCATTGAATGATAGAGATTTTTTTTCTACCTTACATGCCACAGTGTAGCACTAAAAATGGATCTACCCAGTCATTGTGGTGGATTTAACCTGGTTTCATTTTTAAGGTTAGTGCAGTTCTGTCAAGAAATTTTGACTTCATAGAAAAATACGAACTGATTTTAAATTTGATTGTTTTTATTATATTATTATATAAAGAAAAAAATCTTTGTATTGTGTGAGGTTTTCTTTTCCTGTGAGCTGTTCCCATGAGCCTGTAGTTTGTTAGAATGACTTCAGTATAGAAAGTGCTCACTTGGCTCATTAGATTGAGTCTCCTGATGAGAAGGTTAACTGTTACTGCTGCCTGGCTGGCTGTCTCCCTATCACATGCTCACCCCAGCCACTTCCAAATGCAGGACAGACAGTGGGGACACTGTGAGACTAGTAATGGAGCTGAAGTGACCTGCAGACTCTGAATGGCCAAGAATATTCTCTAAAGAATAATCTTAAAGGGGACTGGGGATTTAGCTCAGTGGCATAAGTGCCTGCCTTGCAAGCAGGCAGTCGTGAGTTCAATCCCCAGTACCGATAAAAAGGAAAAAGACAAAAAAAAGAGAATAATCTTAAGATACACTTTCATAGCAATTGTTTTTTTTTTCTTGGCTTTTTGAGACAGGATCTCACTATGCAGTTCGGGCTGGCTCTGAGCTCACTTTGTAGCACAGGCTGGTCTTGAACTTACAACAATCCTCCTACCTCAGCCTTCTGAGTGCTGGGACTGTAGCCATGTGCCACCATGTGGCACAGCAACTGTTTTTTTTTTTATAATGTTTTTTATAACTTTTTTTTTTTAAAGCCAGTCAAACTTAGCGGTGGGGGGGGTGGTATACTAACTTTAGTGACACTAATGTTAGTAAGTTCTGATAACCCACTGCCATCAGACCAGCCTATAACTGTTTGTTTTTTTTTTTATAATGGTCATTCTGGACTTCCTTTGCTTGAAGTATGAGAGGAACTTTTTAATCAGAAAGATCAAATGGCTGATGCCTTCAGCCAAGCCTGGTGTAGACTGGGATGCCCAAGGACCTCCCCCCCACACACATAAGCCCTCTTTCCTCCTGAGTGAGAGAGGTGCCATCATTTGCCTGCAAAGGGAGTAGGGGGAGGTGCCAGGGATCCTCAGGCAGGGCTTCACCCACTCTCTGTGGTTTTGGGGTTTTTCCCCCTTCCCCTGCCTCATCCCCACTTTCAGAGATAGGTGGACCCTCCTGCTCCGGAGCCTTCTCAGGTTTGGGGCTGTAACCAGCTTGTTTTGCTGCTTACTTCCGTGGTCGATCCAGTGTGTAAGTTGCTCCATGCCCTCGTATCTGGTATAGTTTCCAGTCCTATTTACTTGCTGATTTCCAAAATTTTCATGGAACGCTCATCTGTTATTTCATCTCCTTTCATTTTTTCTTTTTGCTTTCTTCGTGCCTGGGTTTGAACCCAGGAGTTGTGCCTGCTAGGCCATTGTTCTACCACTGGGCTGTCTTCATTCTTTTTTATTTTTTGTTTTAATCCTCCTCCAGCTTCTGAGTAGCAGCCAAGATTACAGGTGTGTGCCACCTTGCCTTACTTCTCCCATCCTTTTTATTATACAGCATCTCACTGTGAGGTTTAGGTGTGGCTTTGAACTCACTATGTAGCTCAGGCTGGCCTTGAACTCTTGGCAGTCTTCCTCCTACCCCAGCCTCCTGAGTGCTAGAATTGCAGGCATGTGCCACCACGACCGCTTTCATACTTTTGGTTTTTATGAATTTATGCCCCCCCCCCTTTTACTACTTTATTCTGATTTTGCTAGTGTTTAAAGAGGCAGAGAAGGTTGGGCCGAGTGATACCCACCTATAATCCCAGTACTCAGGCAGCCATGGCAGGACCACCTCTACGAATTGAGGGTGGCCTGGGCTACAAAAAGAGTTTAAGGCCAGCCTAAACTGTATAATGAAATCCTGTCTCAAAAAGGAAAGAGAGAGAGACAGACAGACATACAGACAGACAGAGACAGAGAGAGAGAGAAAGTAAACATGTGCAATATATGTCCTGCTGTGTTTTACTGATAGCCCAAGGTTTAACATACATGCAACATGCAGGAATTGTATTAAACACTTCGTTTTTCCTTTAATTTAAAAATCTCTTCGCAGTGACACATGCTTACAGTCCCAGCTACTCAGGAAGCTGAGACAGGAGAATCCCTTGAGTTCAAGAATTGAGACCTGCCTGGACTACCCAG